TGATAATAGTCAATTAATTAATTTCAGTACACTGAAGAAAAAAAAATTATTTGATTCAAATACTTAATTAATTGACTATTATCAAAGAAATATTTATTTGAATTAAATAATTTTTATTTGAATTGAACAAATTGTGATTGAAAAAAAAATTTTTTTTTAATTTTATTAAATCAGTTAAAATAAAAATTATTTGGTTCAAATACGAATAAAATATTATTATTCATATTAATATTAATTATTATAATAATTAATATTATTTATTATCATAATAATTAATATTCTTTATTGTTATAATAATTAATATTATAATTATTATTAATATTATTTGGTCCAAAAGTAAATATTATATTATTGTTCTAAAAATATTTCAACAATTTTGCAAATTAAAATAGAAAACCATAGACATCATTAAAAAATTGTAATTTATTTATAATTTGTCATTATTTTTTCTAGATGCTTAATTTTTTCTCCAACGTTCCTGAATCAATTTTCCAACAACTAAATCATCTTTAATCTACAAAAAAAGAAAAATTGCAAGAGCAGACAGGAAGTGTGACAAAAGTCAGTATTTTTTTTTTTTTTTTTTTTTTTGCAAATATCTTTCTAATTCGAGGGATGCTCTCTTGAAGATGCACACTTGAAATCCGCACGAAATGTCGAAATTAGATCGAGTAAAAGTTGAACACGAAGAGTCTCGACCTCTCCTTGAGCTTGTTCTGCTTTCAGGATGCATTGTTCCTTCCTTTTTCTCTCATTTCTTTTCTCACACTCGCGCCCTTTATTTTTCCTTTATCACTCCTTCTTTCTCTTTCTACTTTTACATGAGATTTATTTCTGCTTTTTTTTCCAGGTAAGACTCTCGCGATGAAATAGCAAGAGCGTGCGCGAGGTTTGACTTTAAGAGAATACGGTTTGGTATTGTTGGATCGGATCCGTATATATATATATATATATATATGTATATAAAAACAGAGAGAGAAAAAGAGAGAGAGAAAGAAAGAAAGAAAGAGGTCTATGGCCTGTGATGCTCCTTCCGCGGACGAAGAGCTTGAGGAGAAGAGAGAACGACGTTCAGGTAAATCGGAGGGGGATATTCCGGTACTTCTTTTTCTTCCTTTTACTTACATAATGTATTCTTAAACGAACGTACGCGTCTCGCTACCAACGAAGAGGTACCTCTCTCTTTCTATATACGCTACAGGATTCGAGGTATTTAAAGAAATATATATAGACGCGAGAAGATGAGCTGGAAAACACTTATCGTTTAGTTCTCTTCGTCATGAGTCGTTGTAAGACCACAAAACGTGACGCAGGCGTGTCACATCGGAATACAAAAGGTGTAATATCCACATACCAATGACTAAAAAAAAAAAAAAATAACTATAAACACCAATTTAAAAAAAAAAATAATAATTTATTTGATTCAAATAATCGACTATTATCAAAGAAATATTTACTTGAACCGAATCATTTTTTATTTGATGTGAATAAATTGTAATTGAATCAAAAAATTTTTTTCGAATTGAATAAATTTTATTTTATTCAAATATATTGAACCAAATTTATTTGATTCAAATAATCGTCTATTATCAAAGAAATATTTACTTGAACCGAATCATTTTTTATTTGATGTGAATAAATTGTAATTGAATCAAAAAATTTTTTTCGAATTGAATAAATTTTATTTTATTCAAATATATATTGAATTAAATAATATTTATTTAAAGCAAATAATTTTTATTTGAATTGAATAAATTTTATTTAATTAATTAAAATAAGAATTATTTTGGTTTTTAAACAATTTATTCAATTTAAAGAAACATTATTTGGTTCAAGTAAATATTATTTGATTCAAATAAAAATTATTTGGTTCGAGTAAATATTATTTGATTCAAATATAAAAATTATTTGGTTCAAGTAAATATTATTTGATTCAAATATAAAAATTATTTGGTTCGAGTAAATATTATTTGATTCAAATATAAAAATTATTTGGTTCGAGTAAATATTATTTGATTCAAATATAAAAATTATTTGGTTCGAGTAAATATTATTTGATTCGAATAAAAATTATTTAGTTCAAATAAATATTATTTGGTTCAAATTTGTTCAATTCAAATAAAAATTGTTTCGTAATAATTTAAAAAAAAAAAATTACTCTCGAATTAGTAAAAAAAAATTGAACTTTTTTGAATTTTAGTGATTCACTTTTTGCTTTTAAATTAGTTAAATTTTACTAATACGATAGTAAAAATATTTTTTTTACAATTAATCAAATTGTACTGATTCAAAAGTAAAAAGTCACTATTTCAAATTAATTAAAAAATTTTACTAATTCTTGGAGAATTTGAATTGAATAAATAAATTAAAATAGTTGAATTAATAACTAAATTTTGAAAATAATTTCGATTTTCGTATGAGTACAAAAAAGAAGAAAATTAACATTTAATTAAAATAGAAAAGAACCAATTAATTCAGGCTTATGACAATAGAAACTAGAATTGCAGAAATGTGGCATGTAACAGTTGTAATATTGCTAAAAAATTTCACAGGAAGGAAAAAGAAAATTAGTAACAATCGCGTAATTTCAATTTTGTTTCTCACAATTGTTGCATATGTACGTCGACGCACAAAAGTAGTTTTCATTTATATATACAACACAACACTTTTCTTGAAAAGTTTCACGACCTCTTCTCTTTAAGAAAAAAAAGAAAAAAAAAATTTTTTTTTCTCTCTCTCTCTCTTGCCTTAAACAAAGCGGCAGACAACGTAGATTTCGAGACTTCAATCGCTGTGGTGGACGCGATTACGGAGATTTAAAAGGACTTGCAGCTGAGTAACCGGTCGCATTGGTCAGTAAACCTTGGCCATCGTTGAAGTTTCTTTTCTCTCTCTTTCTCTTTTATTTTTTTTTCTTTATATATATATACGCAGGAACTCTGATCTCGGTCAATGCGTTCGATTCAGAACCTAGAATTCTTGAGGCATCCTTCCTGAGTGAGAGAAAGAGAAAGAGGATAGTCAAAGGAAAAACAAAACAAGTAAAAGTCTTGTATGTAAGGATAGATGCTTTGCTAAGATTAGCTTCGGCGCCTACTATAAATTTTATACTCTGTCCAGATAATACTCATGACAATTTTCCCTATCTTTTAAAGAATGTCAAATAGATTTCAATATCAGATTTATTTTTTGTTTAGATAAATAATTATGCGATCGATTTAATTTCAATTAAATTATATAATTAGCTTTGAGTTATTAAAATATATAATTTTTTTTTTTTTTTATTGTAACATTAGAAACAATTTTAGAAATTAAATTATGAAAACAAGTTTGTCTGACTAAATTGATACTTTTTCTACTTGCAAAGAAAGTATAGGCTTGTAAATACTACAATTTCTACTTGAAAACCAATTTGTCTGACTAAATTCTTATTTTCTACTTGGAAAAAATTATTTTTTCTGTCTGCCAAAATTCGACTTTTAAAAACAAAAAAATATTATTTTTGATTAAATAATATTATCCATTTAAAATTAAATTATGTCCAATTAATTTGATTTTAATCCCCTTGCATCTTGTTAAAATTACACGAGAATAATTTCCCCTAAATGATAAAAAAAAAAATAATATTTTTAAGAACGCAAATTCATGCGAATTTAAAAATAGAATTACAAATGCAAAATTTTCTCCATTATTTAATTTCTGATTTTATTCACCCCGCATTACTCATATATTTTTTTAATAAAAAAATTTTTGTCAATTTTATATTAATCTGATTATAATCAGCTATTCACATGTATAAATGTAAAATTTATCATAATCGTTTTTTTTTTATTTTCTCTCTGCCACTCTTCATCTCATAAAAAATATATGAATAAAAAATACAAGGAAGCTTTATGGTAATTGACATTGTGTCGCGTTTTTATTTCTTTTATTTATTTTTTTTTTTTTTGATGGTTCGTTATTTGAGCCCTTTTTAAAATCTAACGACGCGCGCGGATACGACAAGTGCCATATACCTTTAATGATCGTCTTCCTCTATTCGCGTGTAGACGCAAAGCGAGTGGATAATTTCACGATTCGCTTTAATCTTTTTTTTGCAAAAAAAAAAAGTAATTCATTTTCTTCTAATAACTCACAAAAATTCAGTTAAAAAAAAAGGTTTTTCAAAAAATTTATTTCTACAAAAACTGAAAATTTAAAAAAAAAATTAAATTATTTTACTGATTGAAATATATATTTTGCAATTAGAAAAATTATTTTAAAACACTTTTTTGATTAATAATTATTAATTCGAAATTTTTTATTTAAAAAAAATAATAATTTCAGGACCACCTTAGTGAAATTATGAAATCTGGTTTAGACTCCCACGCATACACTGAGGGCGTTGATTTTTCACGTGGCTGAACCACTTCCTTTATATATAAATAAGCGTAAAATGAGATGACCCATTGTTTCACAACCCTACTTTTTCATCTTGGCTCATTACGCTTACTTGGCGCTTATATACTCTTCTTTACCGCGTGTATATATATATATTCAGTGTGCATCAAACATATATATATACTCCCTCGATTGGCTCCGTTAGTTTCCCTTTGGGGGAGAAAATAAATGAGCGTCACGGTTTTGCTTGCGGAATCACTATGGGAACCGGAAACCGACGATTTCAATCTCACTCGCTAAATTCGTATCTCTCTATATACAAAAAATAAAATTTATTGCCAAAAAAAAAATTGAGACATTCGCGAGAAATCGATTTTACAAAAAAAAAAAATCGTTATTTTTACAGCCATAGAAAATAAATGATTTCGTATTTTATACGTTTTGGAATTTTTAATATTGAATTTTTTTTTTATTTAATATTTAATATTTAATATTTATTTAATATTTAATATTTAATATTGAAAATAAAAAAGAATATTTTTTATAATTTTTGCATAATTAATTAATAATTAATTTATTATTTTATAATAATTGTGTGTTTTTTTTTTTATTTGTTTCAGAGTTCAAACTTAGGACAGGAACTATTGGATCGAGTATTTCGACACCTGAATCTTTTGGAAACTGCCTATTTTGGTCTAAGATATCTCGATAACGAAAATCAAACGGTATATATTTTTCATTTATATATTTTTTATTTTCCATTAGGGAAAAATTTTATTATTAAAAATATTTTTTTTTGACAATAATTTCTCCTAATTATTTTATTTTCTATTTTTTATTGTATTTTGTCCTTTTTTGTATTTTATTCTACTTTTTTTTGTTTTTTTTTCTACTTTATTTGTATTTGGTTTTTTTTTATATTTAAAAAAAATTTTTAATTTTTTCCATTTCTGTTATAGATTTAGATGAATATATTTTTTTTTTTTTCATATATTCAATATTCGATAAAAATTTAAATCACCTTTTATAATAAAGAGATTCAAATGCTACCCACGAAAGGTAGAAGCGATAAAACTTCCTATTAAGATATCAATCTCTAAGAGGTGGAATAAAATTAGTTCTATGTTTTTTCCTAGACACCAATCATAATGACTGCACGGGAATCAGGTTTGGACCAATTCGAGACTAAATTGACTATATATATATATATGGCTCAAGGTTATAATTCGCCTCAGACTTTCCCATTCAAAAACCTGCTCTGATAAAAAAAAAGAAAAGAAAAAATTCAATTTTTCATAGCAAAAATATTTAAAAGTCAATTTTTTTCAAAATCAATGAATGATAAAATTAAATGTTCGATTAAAAATATTTAATGAATATATTGATAAAAATGTGAGGGAAATATTAGTGGGCAGGGCCAATATCGTTAAGGTGGAAAATTGAAGAAAATGGAATTGACCGTCGTTAATTACATTTTACCTATAAATCTGTATATGCGAATCCCTTCCAATGTCTCCGATTACTTTGCCTTAGGGCATGAGACGAAGATGAGATTATTATCAACGGGAAATACCGAGCACTGCTATAATTTCCGGTCTAACCGAGAGAGCGATACGTTAAACCATTGGCCAGTCTCTTCTAGAGATCCTTCAATGTATAGGATAGAAATTAATTTGATTCAATATATATAATATATATATATATATGTATAGTAATTTTCAAATCCTTTTTGCAGCAATGGCTCGATCCAAGCAAGAAAATCAGCAAACAACTCAAATTTCAAAAGGGAGATCACAGCCTCGATGTTCACACCCTCTACTTTGGAGTGAAATTCTACGCAGCCGATCCCTGCAAACTCATCGAAGAAATTACAAGGTGAAAAGGCTATATCAAAATTTAAATTCAAAATTCAAAATAATATAATTTTTGATCACTGATATTTTTTCTAATTTTCTCTATAGATGAAAAAATAATTTTTCCTATGAAGTACACGTCCTTTTTTTATGTGTGGCAAGAACAAAAGTCCGTACTCAGCAATTTTACTCTTTTTTTTCTCTTGAGCGCTGTATAGAGAGCAGCTAGAATATAATCTTTTACCAAAATCGACACGTCGACTCTTGTTTATAACTTTACAAAAGAAAGAAAGAGAGAGAAAGAGAGTGATAAGTCATATATTTTGACGATCGTTAGTCTTTAGCTTGATATAAAACAAACAGCGGCGATTTAAGTAAAAATAAAAGAGAGAGAGAGAGAAGCACTTTTGGAAAGAGGAGATATATATTGACGGTAGTGAGTTTGCTCGAGGAGAAAAAGTGCCTGAAAACCAGCGAACTCAATCTATATGCTAATGCAGCCATCTTTTATCTGCTGTATGAGCAATCAATGACTTCCTACATGTGTGGTTACTTCAGGTCCTCTCTGGAGAGGAGAGAAAAGCCCCCTCCCCCACCTTTTTTTTCTATATACTTTATGGAGAGTGCAAGGGCACAAAGAGTTCGCCATGAGACGAGAAAACGACGTAGAAAATAAGGGAGGCATAAACCCAAGGAAAAAAAAGAATAAACAAAAAAAGAGAGAAACGAAAAACAAAGAAAAGCGTTTACTGTCATTTTTTTCTAATATTTAATTTTTTAAACGATCGATAAATAAAAATTTTTTTCAAATCGATAATATTTATATATGTGAAAAAAAAGGAGAAGAGAACGAAAAGTAAGAGAGAGAAATGTTGCATATAAAGAAATAAAAAGGAAGAGTTGAGAGAAGAAGAAAAATAAGAGAAATGGAGAAAGACTATTCATAGTTGAAAATTATTTCATATTTGGCCTTAGGCTCACGAGAAGAGGCCATAGCAATTAACGGCGCACACCAATTACCGAACCGAAAATGAAAATTATATATAGAGAGAGAGAGGGGTCCCACAAGCATTCCACAATTTGGTCCACCGTTCACCAATGCTTACTTCTTTTTTTATTTCTTGAAACTTGTTTTTTTTTTTCTTTTTTTGGTCCTTTCTTCTTCTTTTTTTTCCCTACCGAAGAGCACAAAATTGCACCTCGCGGCGCCTCCTGACAACACGATCGGTTATATGAAGAGTATGTGCATGAAAAAGAAAACGGCGGTAGCACTTTGTTTCGTGAACACTTCTTCTTTTTGTTCTTCCCCTAAAATTTACGAATCCGTCGTGTTTTCTTGCATTCTTTGCCCGCAAACATTATTTTCGGTAAATCAGGTCTTGTTTGCGCCACGTAATGTTAGTTTTATTGCTATTTAATTTTATTACCGCAGCTTCTTTTCTTCGAAACAATTTTAACCCGGAGAGAAGAAATTATTTTTATCTTCTTACGGAACAATTTTTTTTTTTTTTTTGTCTCACTTTGCGCAAATTTCTTTATTTTATTCTGTAATGTTTTGTTACTTTGTTGTATTCGTAATTGGTTTTGCAATTATTTGTTTCTCTGATGAAAGCAATTTTTCAATAATCATCTTATTTTTTTCGTCCGCGAGTTAAAAAAAATTGTTTTGTACCTTTTTTTTAATTTAGATATTTGGGAAAAATTAAATTTTTAAATAATTTCGTTTAAATTCTCATAATAATATCTCTTTGATTTTAATTTTCTTGATTAAATTGCTTTCATAATTTGTAAAGTTTCAATTGTCTCCAACCAATTTAATGCTAATCCTTCTACATTATATTGAGACTCGGAGAATTGAATCGAAGAATAATTAATTTCTAAAATTAAAATTTTTTCATATATTTTTTTAAACATAATTCGTCTAAAAAGCTTAAAATTAAAAAAGAAAAATATGAAAAATACCGAGAATTTTTAATTACTTCTTTAACATAATTAAAAAAACTTCAATGTTCAACTTCTTTAACATAATTAAAAAAAACTTCAATGTTCAACACTTTATTTTTAATTAAAATTTACTTCTACGATTATTTTTATAAAAATTAAAAAAAAATTCTAGAATTTCTTTCAAAAAAAAAAAAAAAAGAAAGGAAATTTTTTTGTACAAAAAAAAAAATTGGGAACAAAATACGCGAGTATCTCATTTCTATTATAAAGCAAAATAAAAAATTTTTCTCATGTGTCGCGCATGGTTCACAAGTGTGACTGAATATGATAAAAAAAAAAAGAGAGAGAGAAAAAATATGTTATCTGCGATGCAACATGGGTCTTCCGGACAACACCAACACTCAAACATGAAAGCAGTAAAGAAAATATTTTTTGTCATGACGCCGCACCCATTCGTGTTTAAAATGAATAACCACAAATCAACGAGTCGACAATTGGTGTTGGATATATGTACAATAATAAACGCGTAGATTTCAAGACGCAGACAATATATATATTTACAACAACTGGAACAACTACGAGAGAACTAAATTCTCCCAAAGACATAAACTTGAGCCTTCGCCAAAGGGATAAAAACTAAAAGGCGCGCGCGCGAGGGAAAATTCGAAGCAATTTCACCATCAACAAATATGAAACTGTTTCTCATCTTAGCCTTCACTTTATTAAATGAACAATTTCTATATTAAGAGTATAAGTCATAAAAATTATCACTAAAAAAAATTCGATAAATTTAAATCGAGATTTAATAACATTTTATAATGCATTATCGTAATTAATTTTCTAGTCTCGTAGTTGATAGAGTCATTAGGATTCCTTTTTTTCTACTTTTCCTATTTATATGATTTATAGTTATTGTAAATACAACCATTATATGTGGGTTGAAAATAGATTCAAGATTTGTAAACACGTTATCATTGAGATTAGAGGCAAAAAAAAAAGAGTGAAAAACCGGTTTTCAGAATGAACAATAAATAAGGGGGGAGGAAAAGATAAAAATCTTAATTTCATGTTAGATAAATAAAATTCGATAAGAGCCAACATGATTAGCCACCAAATTCTACTTTCTCTATATATTATAATAATGATCGATTAATATTTCTTCTTTTGTTATAATTTTAATGTATATTTACAATAATTTGCGAAATTTCAATAACTAAAAATTTGAAAAATATCAAATTGTGCTTAGAAAAAATTATTATTGTTCAAAAAAAAGCTTTTCTGAGGTAAAAAGGTGAATCATGTGGATATTATTGGCAAAAGTACTTAACGATAGCTTTATACATGCGGCGAAGGAGAGAAACCGCAGGCGGCCTGACTTTAAAACCAAAGTTGCGGTCAATCCTTAACCACAGCCTGACCTTTCGGCTTTTTAGTTCTTTACACACACATATATATATATATTACTCATACTACATTCAACTTCGCTGTAGTGGAGCAACTTTCCAGATTATAAAAAAAAAAAACGAAAAAAAAATCTGGCGTGAAGAAACTCTTGTGCTCTTCTCAATTATTTTCTTCTTTTTTAGGTATCAATTCTTCCTGCAAGTCAAACAGGACATTCTTCAAGGGAGGCTCCCGGTATCATTCGACTTGGCAGCTGAATTAGGAGCATATGTCGTTCAATGTGAGCAATTTTTTTTTTTCTTTAAATTTTTTTTTTTAATTTTAATTTTTATCATTAAATACTGAAAATCAAGTAAAAAAAAAGTTAGATAAATTTAAATAATTGATAGTAAATTATTTATTTAATTAATTATTATAGATTATTATTACACCCAGAGAAATGATTTATTTGAACCAAATAAAATATATTTGAGTTAAATAAACGTATATTTGTCTCAGAGCCTACTAACTTATTTATTTAGCGTAAATAAAAATTTTATTTGTCAGAAATATAAATTTTTCTTTGGCTCAAATAAATTTTTTATTTCAATGAAATGAAATATATTTGCAACAAATAAATGAGTTAGTAGGCTCGGATATACCATTTCTCTGAGTGTACTAAAATAATAATTAATAATTAATTTAATTATTATTATCATCATTTTTTTAAAATTATTTTATGAATTTTTTTTCTTACAAATTATTATTATTTTAATAATAATCGTTTAATAAATTTAAAGTGAAATTTGAAATTCTTGGATTTAATGAAATGGAATAATAAATTGTTATTAAACAATTTATGAAACTAGAAATATTGTATATATATATATCTGTAGAGACCGGTTTACGACCCCATACAAAATTCTGAACATTAGTCACACACTAGTTCTAGATAAATTTATTTTCAACTCTCTTAACAGGTTGTCAGACAGAGAATGATGAAATAGTAAGAGGTCAAGAATTGTTTCAAAAGGATTTTTTCATTCTTTAAACCGTAAACCTCTTTCTATTTTGTAATATTGTTTCTAAATTTAGAATAATTCTCAAGAAAGTTATTTAACTAATTAGAAGTATTAAATTTTATATAAAAAAAAAACTTTTATTCTTTTTTTTTTTTATTTTTATTAGTTATTAATTACATAAAATAAAATAATAATTTTAAATTATTATTAAAAATTATTTTTTTAATGAAAGAATTAATTAAAATTAACATGTTTTTTCAGAATATTTGTTCAATCCGGAAAGTAAAGAAAAGCATCTCGCGAAACGTATTTTGCATTTGCCTCCGGATAGTACAGAGAAAGAGAGAAAGAGAGCATCTGCAGGAGCGTCTCGTATAGTTGCGCGTTCTTCTATATACGCCAAGGGGAAAATCTTATCAAACGGGTAGTCAGCTTTCTTAAGAAATGTCCACAGTCGTAGATTTTAAGTCGAGACAGCAGTAAACTAGAAAACCAAAAAAAGAGAAAGAAAAAAATTCTTAGATACACTTCCAGTCTTTCAGAAAGTATAAACGCAAAAAAAAAAAAAAGTAAGAATATCTGCGACCGCAAAAAAGCCTCCACGTTACGCTTATCTGGATAGTAAGATTCAAAGACGTACAAATAGAGAGATACGCTGCTTGTGTTTGCGTCTCATCGTATATGTCAAAAGAAAGATGAAATGAATGCCCTTTCTTGAATACGTCCGACTCCCTTGATAATAAAGATGAGGTCATGTTTCATTTGCAAAACGTGACCTTATTTTTTTTTTTTTGAAAAAACAAAAAAAAAAGAAACAGAATGTTTTGACTTCTGATAGAGATAAGGTTTTACTGAAAAATAAAGAGAGAGAGTAGGTAAAACAATTTTTTTTTTTCTTTTTGAGAAAAATTTCTTTTCAATGACAAATCTTTTTTTTATACTTGCGATGTTTCTACTGTGCAAACGAGTTATGAGAGACTATATAATATTTATATACAAAAAGGATGCGCTATCTATCGCGCGAAACTCGTTACGATAATAAGTTCTCCGATTCACTGTGGGATACTGGACCTGCGCTTTGAGTGAAAATTAATCCGATCTCTTGCACAAAAGCGTCGCTTTCTAACAATGCAACTTTGTTTTCAAGAAATTTCAATCTTCTCAAATTCACCCTTTTCAACTGTCCTTTATAATAAAAATTCGCGAGTTCTTATCAGATGCTTGTAATTTATGCAATAAATTTCGATTTTCAATGATAATTCGAAAATTATTTTGATTTTTCTTTAAAAAAAAAATTATTTTAATTCATATGAATGCTATTGTAAAAATTAATTTCTCGTTAATTAATGAATGAGATTCTTAATTTTCAATATTCTCTCTTCTTTTTCTTATATAGGAAAATAATTAAATAGCCCGTCTGTTAATTCTGGTATTGGCTATTACCACGAGATAAAATTGATACGCACGATCAAGCAAGTGAATAAAAACACTTAATTTCCATTAAGGCTTCTTCTTCTTCGATCGTTCAAGACCTCGCTCAAAAGAAACGAACGCGTAAATCCACATGTATAACATCAGGATTAATATATCTATATATATATTAATGTTCTGTCGTGATTAAATACATCTTGTATAATGTGTAATAAGTGGCAAATGAGACTTAGAGAGAAAATAAAAAAAAAAAAGATCACTAATTGAAACCAGATTTTTCGAGAGAAAAAGAGAGAGAGAGACTATTTTTCTCTCTAAGTTACGTAATCAAATTCAAGATTGCTTTTAATGTTTGTTTGACATTCTTTTCACGTGGAAAATTGCATGTCATTACAGTTAAATTGATTCCGATTAAGTTCAAGTTTAAAAAAAAAAACCAAATTTTTCTTGTAGATAAATTTTTTCCACGAAGAAAATTTCGTTTTTTTTTTTTTAAATTTAATTTAGGGGAAAAAAATATTTAATTTTAAAATAAGACTAACTATTCAAGTTTTTTAGAAATAAAATAATCTTGAAAAAATTGAATTTGATCAAAATAATGAAATTAAATTAATTTTGACTTTGAAATGATGACACGCTTTGTTATTTTTTTATTATTTTTTTTGATTCTGCGCCAAACGAGGTGTAAATGAGAAAAGTCCCGGGTGATAATCAGCCGATTCGTGCATACGATTTTGCTTGATCGAAACCCACCGTCTGTAATTACACGTGTGAGTGAGCTTACAAGACTACGTGATGGTGCGGTCCCTTCATTTAAAACGACGAGAGAAAATAAAGTATATACCTCGCGCAGGTCGAAGCCGATATTCATCAAAGTCAGTGATTCAATTAACAAACTATAGGATGATTTCCAAAGGGATATATATATATATATATAAATATATATGTTACCTGCGGATAATCAGCCTGAGGTTTTGTGAACCGCGAAGCAAAATTCCAAGTGAAGTTGGAATGCGACGCGTGAACATCAGTGGATCTCGTTAAACATCCTACTAATTTAGTTCGCATTAATTAAACCCTTACGTGACAGTGACCACGTGCCCCCAAAAATATCAATCGTTGATTTATTTCAATGTGCGTCTCTCTCTTTTTTATTTCTGCTTTTTTTTTTACTTATTTCATAAAACAATGAAAATTTTATTTTAAATAAAAATAGATTTGGCAAAGAAAAAAATTGACGAATAAAAATTCCTGTTTGATTAAAATAGAGAGAAAAACTAAAACTTATTTTTTAAATTTGAAATAAGTATACCGATATTTTTTCATATTATCAGTTTTTTTTTCTTGCTTTCAGCTGAGCTTGGAGATTACGATCCCAGGAGGCATTCAATTGGCTACGTGACCGAATTCCGTTTCCTGGCGAATCAGACATCTGAACTTGAAACAAGAATAGTTGAACTACACAAGACTTTAATGTAACTTTTCACACTTTTATAATTTAATTTCCTCTTATTTAAACTTTGATAATTAAAATATACTTTTATTATAAATATTTCTATTTTTTTTTCTCTCTTCACGGAAATTAAAATTTCCAATTGCGAATTTACAAATTTTTGGCAAAATTTTTTTAATAAATTATTATTATAAAATAGTACGAAAAAATGAATTTTGCTAAATTAATAGTAATTGAATTTAAAATAATATCGATCATTTTTCTTTTTTTTTTTTTTTTTAGAGGACAGTTACCATCGGCGGCTGAGCTTAATTACTTAGATAAAGTAAAATGGCTCGAAATGTACGGTGTCGATTTACATCCAGTTTTGGTACGTGCCAAACTTGTTATAAGAATCTCTGCGCCTCATTACATTCGAAACATGAAAAAAAAAGAAAACTTCTTTCCTTTTTCAGGGTGAGGACAACGTTGAATACTTTTTGGGTCTCACTCCAAGTGGTATAATATTATTACGTAATAAAACCAAAGTGGGAAATTACTACTGGCCCCGAATCAACAAAATTTACTACAAGGTACAAATTTCATTCATTTATATTATTTTATTTATAAATTTCATTTTGATTTACATTTTTTATAATATTTTATGAAAATTCTTTTTTTTTCTTTTGTCTTTTATTACCAATAATTATTTTTTTATATTTTATAAATAAAAGTTGAAATATCAAAATTTTTTTTTTATCAAAATTCAATATTTTCTTGTAATTATATACTTTTATCGAATGAAAATTTTAATTTATTAATAAAAAAAAATTGAGTCTTGAATATTTTTATTTTTGTATTAAGAAATTGTGTGAATATTACACATAAAGTAGAATTTATGACCGATTCGTGTTTAGTATCACTAGCCAAATAACTATTTGATATTCAACTTCCGGGAAGTAAATCCAAGATCCTGTTTCAAGTTTAGGAAGGAAATTTTGCTCCCCATTGGTCTCTCTCTCTCTCTGCCCTTTTGAAACTCTGAACTTCCTCCCTGATGCTAAGAACTTGTAACTGGATATGTTAGATCGTTAAAAGTAACTTCAAATTGCTATGGCGCATCATTTTACAACTAATTATAAGTAAAAAAAAAATTTATTTTTAAAAAGCCAGTGATTTTTCATATTTATATATTATGTTTGCTCACATTTTCAGCTGAAATTAAAAACCCCCTTTTTTTATTTATAATTATAGTAATAATCGAAATAAAATTTATTAATTTTTTTAAATTTAATTTTAATTTTAATTTAATTTTAATTTTTAAATTAAAATTTCAGGGAAAATATTTTATGTTACGTGTGTGTGAGAAAAATTCAGAGGAAAGAACACATGGTTTTGAAACACCATCAAAGGGTGCGTGTCGACATCTTTGGAAATGTTGCCAGGAACATCAGGCATTCTTTAGATTAATGGCAACGGGACAACCGCCATTGAGTCCATATTCACGTTTTCGTTCATATAGTCCGCCATCGGGTTCGGAAAAACATTTAACAATTAGAAGAAATCCACCGCCATTTCAAAGAACGCCAAGTCGACGTGCACAACGACGCGTTGTTGAGGGTCAAGAAATGGTTAGTCCTTATATTGAGGCACCACCATTAAATTCAAGTCCCGGGATTATAAGCAATAATACAATGTGTAGTAATATTCATAATTTACATAATGTTCATGGTATTCAACATATTCATAATGTTCATAATTCACGTCACGTTAATTCGAGTCCAAGAAGCACAAGAAGCGCACCATGGATGCAAAGTCAACCACGTGGTCTTTATACATCGTCTAGTCCTCGATCCGTTCGTTCAACAGGAACGGCTCCAGCTGTGAGTTTCTCTATTTTGTAAATAATAAATTTTAAATTATTTTTATTGAAAAATTTATTGTTTTTTTTAGCTCTTGAGCAGACTCCAAAGAAGGAGCAGCTCGGTAGAGAGTCAAAGTTCAGGGGATAGTCATAGTCGCGGTGGTCACAGAAGAAGAAGTCATAGTCATAGTCATCGAAGGCATAGTCGACATTCCGATTGTGAATCCGAAATGTCCCGGGGATCTGAATCCAGATCTAATCACCGGAAACATCGACGGAAGCATAGAAGCTCTCGAAATTCTAGGTATATAACTTCTAAAACACGAATTTCGATTCTAATTAAAATCATCTAATTGATTAATTTTTTTTTTTAGACACGAATTAATAGACTCTGAACCACAATGGAGAGAAGCACAAAGACGAAAAAATGAAGGTGTTCAAAGAGCAGTTGTGAGTTTTATTTTATTTTTTCTTATTTTAAATTATAGAAATCATAAAATATGAATTATTGAAAAATCTTCACAGGTGAGTCATACCGAACCAAGAAGAAGGCATAGAAGTAGGCACAGAAGTCCTTCTCAAAAACAAACCCTGCCTGACGAACTTAGAAAGTAAGTGGAAAAAATTCATTTTCCAAAATTTATGTAAATAGTTTTGTGAAATTTGTGTTTTGTAGATATTGTAGAAAAAAAAAAATTTTAAACTAATTATAGAATTCAATTTTAAAATCACTAAGATTCAAAAACACGCACTTTATATAAATGAGAAAAATGTAGATAAAATAGCACAGTAAAAAATTTTTTTTACACAGCACAAATTTAAAATTAGATATAATTTTCACCTTTTTTTTTTTATTTTTTTTTTAATAGAAAGAGGAATTGTTGAAAAATGAAATAATCAATTTTTGTTGTACCGTAGAATGAAGAAAAATTTGAAAATTAATTTCATTTTTCAAAATTTGAAGACAAATTAGAGAAAATATTAGTTTGCACAAAAATTTAATCTCGTAGAAAAATCAGTGAGGTGCACGAATTTTCGTGATTAAAAAAAAGACGACCATGCGAATATTCATTTATTTATTTTTTTTTTTATGGGTGTTAGAGGGAGATTTTTTTTTTTTTTTGGCAAATATGGCGAATGAGAATTTTTTACAGACACTTGGAGTTCAGTCTAGTCGACACTACAGGAATGAGTGAACAACAGCGTCGTGAGATTTCATATACTGTGATACAATCTCAAGGGATGCAACAACAAAATATACTTCAATCAATAAATCGATTGGATAATAATGTCGATACATCGGCGCCTAGGTACGATGATCTCAGGGCGGCCTTCAACTTCTACAGTCATCCTCCAACTTTGGAGGATGAAACAGAATCCGTAGTCATTGTTTGAACGGTCCTTTTTTTGCATGTGTCACTTGTATTGTTATTATTTTTTTTTTTATTTATTTCGAGCATGGACGTTTTTTTTAGTTTATTTATATATATATATATATAAATATTAAGCATGCGCCTTTTTTAATTATTTATTCGAAAAAAAGCATGATTATGGTTCCTTAAAATAAATCAGTGTTTATTAACTGCTTGTCGCACTTTATTTATTTCCTGGCTGGCATTGTTGAAGCACCCCACGATATTATATACAATAAATATATATATATATATTTGCTTTTGCTACTCCACGGTCAACTTTTTTTCTACGTTCGAAACAATCGCAGGGTATCAAGCACGCACGTTTTTATTTTATTTTTTTGTAAAGGGTGAAAATCAAAGTCAGCGAAAACGTGACTTTTGCACGTTTTTCCTCAATTTTAACGAATCATTTAAAAAAAAAAAAAATATACATACTATTTTCTACATTCTGATTTTTTTTAAAAAATTATTTCAGTATTTAATTAAAATTCCATTTTTTCGAAATAAAAATTTAAAAGCCAGCTGTGATTTTGATATTCATCCATAAATGTTTTTTTTTTGTGGAGTCATTTGTGTTTTAATCCCATTTTAAGAATTCATGCGTGTCAAAAATTTTTGTTAGTTCCTGGCAGAGCTGGACGAGAAAATTAATTTTTTTTTTTTTAAAGAAGCTTGTAGAATAAATAATTTTAAACTATTTATTTTATATTTTAAAGAATAAAAAAAAATTAGGTTTCTCTTCAAGTAGGATATTTTAATGTAATTTATTTATAGACTATAGAATTAAAATTAATCAAAAGAGAGAAAAAAAGTCCAACTCTGACCTGTGGAAGGTAGCGTGAAGGTGTTTTTAAAATGTTTTTTGAAATACATCGGGTTTTGTTAAAAAAAAAAAAAAACGAAAAATTATTTGAAGCATCGGAAATGTTAGACAGTCAAGGATTCACTTTCAGAACAATGGGATCCATTGGAAAAAGAGAACGACGAGTGGTTCATCATAGTCGTGAGGGAAGTTATAACTTTTCAACCATTCAATCAAGACCAAATCGAGTTTTATCAAAGTATCCTGACACTAGGAACGAGTACAATACAAGAAGGGACATTGATAGTACTAATAACAGCAGATTATTGATAGGCAATAATGTGGACAGTGGACTTGGTGAAAGTACTCCACAGGACTTTTCCAGCTGTTGCTCGAGTTCTGCTGACAGCACTAAACACATTCGTGTAGTACGTATTTTCTTTTGCTTATGCTTTCGACGTTATCTCAGAATTTAATAAATAATCAAAGAATTTTCTTTCAAAATGTAAAAAATTGATTTTAATTATTAAGTTTGTCAATTTTTGAAAAATAGTGACAAAATCTGAGATGAAATGTCTGTATAGAAAAAAAAAAAAAGTCAAGACTCTCAGCTAGTACAACTTTAATAGGCAGCACTTTTTTTTCTCTGGTGAAAAATGGGGTTCTCGCTTTGCTCGGCAACACAAGTTTATTTTTTTTTCTTTTCTTTCCTCGAGAACGAAATTATATATGTAATATAGAATTTTTAATATCAAGAACTGAATAATAATAAAATTTCAGGGGAAATTTTAAGTGAAAATCGTTTTTCTGATACAGACGCAAAGGCAATTAGAAGCAGAGAGACGTTATAGACTTTCAAATCAAGAAACTTATCCTCCAGTTGACGTTACGTTGGATGCAGTTCTTCAACCAATAATATCGTGAGTAATATCTTACAAAATTTTGATTCAATTTATAATAATTATTATGTTCTAATGAAATATTAAAATTTTATTATTGAGATTAAATAAAAAAAAAAAAATTAAATTTGAGCATTATTGTATTTTTAATAAATCTTATTAAAATATACAATATTATAAAATATAAAAAAGAAAAATAGTTTTTGTTTGTAGATACATTAAGTTAATTGTTTTTCTTTTTCATTGATTATTTGAAAATGACATTACTTTTTCTTCTTTTTCTGCAGAACTCTCACACGAAAACCAAGGAATCGTCCAAAATAGATTCAAGAGAAATTTTTGAATAAAAAAAAAAATAGTTGTTTGTAATTGCACATATTGTATGAGAATTTAAGTGAAACTTTTTATACCTCAACAAAATAAATGTCTATAATCCCATCATTCGATGCATATACAAAAAAAAATTGAAATTATTTGTTTCATTGTAATTGATAAGTTTTCCTAATTTATCATTTCCTAATTATCCTTCGAGGCCATGTGTCGCATGAGATTTCCTATAAATTTCTCCATTTTCTTCAAATCTTGAGCGATTTCTGTTTTATATTGCAAACACTGGAAAAAAAATTTAATTTTTTAAGTTTGATTTATTATTTACCATAAAGTGTAATGAGTTTTTAAGAAGTTTAAAATTTTTATGATAGAAATATAATTTCTTTTTTTTGTTATTGAATTACATTTAAACGAATATAAAAGAGAAAAATTAATAGATAAATTTTAAAACAAATTTGATTTGAATAAAAAATAATTTTGTCTACTTACTGTTTTGTTGTCTGTGAGTTTTAAAAGTAATACTCCTTTTTTATGATCATATTTCATTGTGTAACGAGCCTGCATGTAATAAAAAGAAATCTTTAGCATATAGACAAAGTAAGTAATAGAAAATTTTAATTAAAAATAAAAAACATGGAAATCTAATTAAAATTAACGAAAAAAACGAAATATCTTTTATTTGAGAATAACATTTTTCAATTTAATAATTATTGTTAATATGTAAAATCAAAATTTAATTCTAATTAACTTCAATAGTACAAAGAAACATAAATTTAATAAAAATATAAATATATTGAAATCTGTGATTATAACCTAAAAATGACAAGTCGCGTTAAATTAAATACATTTTCAATCTACGACAATAATAATACAATATAATAATTGATATTGATTTTTTAATTTAAAACAATGTTAATAATCATGTAAAAATAAGCGTTTTTATTTAGTTTTCCACAAAATCACACAAACATATCTGACGTCAATGACAAATTTTATCGATTATTTACATGATTTAGAAAAGATTAAAATTTAAATAAAATTCTAAGCCTATTTTAATAAAACTCTTTTTTTTATATTGTATTTATTAATTAAAGTTGAAAATATTATATTCAGAGAAAACTTACTTTTAAAGGATCTTGAAGATATAACCTCTCAGCTCCTTTTTCAAATTCTTCCCATGAATTAAGATAAGTCATTTTTAGAATCAATGTGATTTATAATTAAACAATAATGTTTAAGATTAAATAAAATATAAAATTCTACAAAATATTCATACACTAACGTTAATTTTTCTAAAAAATATGTTAATAAAAATGCATTTTTGTTGACAGTATAATTATGACAGGTGTACAAACAATGTTGCAGGTTGCAGTGTTGCCAAATCTAAAAAAAACTAAAGGTTTCTTCACATGTTCACACAAATGCACATCTTTTGCGCATGCCTGTAAAATTTAGATTTAAAATGTCAACAAATGTCAAAAAAAAAATTTACATTGTGTAACTTTTTGTTATTAATCTATAATAGATAAATAATTAACTTTTTATACAAATTTATTTTATTAAGGTAGTTAATATTTGTTTAAAATTATTGAATATTAGGAATAAAATTTTATATATTTAATAAGAATTGATGAAAAACGAATTCTAACCTATAACTTTTTACAAAGAATAATGAAACATCCTTTTTCTCTTTATATTTACAAATTTGATTAAAAAAAAATTGAAAACAAAAATGTCAAAACCGTCTAAATCGAAAGATGCACACTTGGCTTGGCAAATTCACAATGAAATGAATCGTTTTGATGTCACAGGAATAACGGAGAATGCAGCTTTTCCGGATGTAAGTAATTCTTTTTTTTTATATATATATATATATAATGTAAATACCAATAAATTGTTTTTATTCTATTTTTTAAAAAATATTTATTAGATTATTTTCCTGTTGGCTGAATAATTTCTTTTTAAATAAATAATTTTCATGTTTCAGGATACAAAGGAAAATTATAAACCAAAAACTTTGATTGATAAAACTTTAGAAATAATTGATCCAACTCCTAATATACACACATTGTTTGTGCAATTTAATAAAAAATTCTTTTCAAATCATTTACTCTCTGTTGAAGTTAAATGGAGTCATCGAATGACCTCGTAAGTATTTTTATTTATATAACTAAATTAATATCACCATTAAATATTTTAACGAAAGCTTTCTTTAAAATGAATTCTCATTGAATTGTTTTATATTAAAAAGAAAAATATTTTTCACAGATGTGCAGGCACTTGTACTTTTAATACTGGAAGTCGATATTGTGTAATTGCTCTCAGTAGTCCTTTACTTAAATTGAGACCACGAAAAGATCTCGTTGAGACATTATTGGTGAGTTTGTGTAATTTTTTTTTTTTACAATTTTTAAACAAATCAAGCCGTTACTAAATTATTATTTTTATTACAGCATGAAATGATTCATGCTTTTTTATTCGTGACAAACAATAATCGCGATAGAGATGGACATGGACCTGAATTTTGTAAGCATATGCACAGAATTAATAAAGAAGCAGGAACCAATATTACAGTAAGAAAATTATTTTACCATTGAAAAAAATTTTAATAACCCGTTCATTTATTTTTTTTAATTATTATATTAAATGAAATATTAAATTTTATTTTAGATATATCATACTTTTCATGCGGAAGTTAAACTTTATCAACAACATTGGTGGCGATGCAATGGACCTTGTCAAAAGAAACATCCATTTTTTGGAATGGTTCGTAGATCAATGAATCGTGCACCAGGACCAAATGATTGTTGGTGGAATCAACATCAATTAACTTGCGGTGGTAAATTTATAAAAGTTCGAGAACCAGAGAAATTAGAAAAAAAAGGAAAAAAAGATAAAAATGAGAAAAACAATTTAAAGAAGCCAAATTTAGATAAATGGTTAATACCATCGCCTGACAATAAAAAAGGTAATTCGAATAATTTAAAAAAACCAGAAAATAAAGGATCGAATAATGATAAAATTGGTTCGAACAAGAAGAATGGTGGAAATAATTTTTTTAAAACAGGTGGTGTAAAAACAAAAGGTGGTGGTTCATCAGTTTATACGGTGAATAAATGGAATGCAAATAAAAATTCAAATGAACCAGAAGTGACAAAACTTGGTAATACAACAAATAATGTTCATGGTTTTGGTACAGGAGGTCCTGGTTCCACATCTTCAAAAGCAACAACATCTTCCACTTCTGGAAAATCAATTTCCTATTCGGGAACATTAGGTGGTTCAGGTTCGGGACAAAGTCGTTTATTACAAATATTCAATTCATCAAAAACAAATGACGAAAAGAAAGAATCAAAAAATTTTGATCCAACAGTAAAATGTCCAATTTGTAAGGATTTAATTTTAGAGAAAATCTCTAATGAACATATTGATTTGTGTCTAAAAAAAGAGAAAAATTCTTCGCTTTTAAATTCAACGCCAAAACAAAATGAAAAAAAGAATAATGAACTAATGAAAAATAAAAAAATAGATAATGTCAATTGTCCCGTGTGTAATAAAAAATTTTCTCCTTCTTTAATAACGGAACATATTGACATATGTTTGTCAAATGATTCTCCATCAACAATTGTAATCGATGATTCCCTGAGTGACATTGACAGTACACCATTAGCTAAAAAAAGAAAAATTTCCGATTTCTTCGATACTAAAGAGCCAAAAAATAATAATAGTAGTAGTAATAATGAAAAAGTAAATTGTCCCGTTTGTAATAAGGAAATAAAAATTGACGACATGAATCGTCATTTAGATAATTGTTTAATTGAAATTGATGAAAAAGATATAAACGAAGCTGGTCCTTCGTCGCGTATAGATAATAAAAATAAGGAAAATATAGTAAACAAAAATTCCGAGGATAGTGAAAAGAAAAAAAAAGCTGAAAAATGTTTGATTTGTAACAATATTTTGGATCCTGAAATTCCATTAACTCAACATTTGGATGAATGTTTAAAGGGTATGTTCAATGATAGTGAATCAAGTATTAAAGAAGAAATCTCTTCTAAAAAGACAACTGAATTTATTGAAATCGATGATTCATCATCATCAGATAATGAATTAAGTCCTTTAAATGATAAAGAAAAAAGTAATCGTTTTCCGTGTCCCGTTTGCTTGTCACTTATACCTCAAAATGACATGAATAATCATTTAGATTCATGTGTGGGATAAAATTTTTCCACATGACTGATATTTATATTTAAAAAAAAAACTCAAGAAGAAATATTTTTATAATATAGAATTTTTGTATTGTTTTATTATTTGTAATGAAAATAAAAGTGTTTTTTTTATAAAAACGTTCTTTTTTTCAAATATATAAATTGCAATTAATTTCAAAAAAAAGTTACTAAAGGGATAATAAATATAAACTGTAAAAAGAGAAAATTTTATATAAAAAAAAATTAAGTATTTATTTTCAAAGTAATAAACGTTTACAAAATATTGAAAAACATTTTTTTTTCTTAATTATTATTTCTTACAATACTATTTCATAAATATACAATTTTTTTTCTTAATTTACCATTGATTTTTATATTTTGAACATTATCTTGAAATTCTTTTATATAAATCTTCAGTATTTGTTTGATGAGCTGTACAGAGTCCGCAGGTGAATTCTTGAATGAAATTTGGATAAAACAATAAAATATGTTCTTGTGTCCAACGTATAAATATTTGAAATTCCGATAATACGACATCGACTAATTTATCATCCAATCTTACCCTGTGGAAATAAAATTTAATTTTTTTTTTATTAAAAATTTTCGTTAAATTTTAAAAACAAAATTAAATATACATACCATTTTGCTCCCACAGAAACAAATTGATAATTTCTTTCAATTTGTATCAAAGATGTGTAATTATACAATGCGCCTCCATTTTTAAAAGGCATTATTGTTAAATTATCCGATTCGTCATTTAAAATTAAATTAATATCATTACCATTATTTATTGCCGATATTGAAAATCTCGGATATTCATCATAACAATGACCAAGAATTAACATTTCTTGATTTTTCTCCAATTTATTACTAATATTGTAAGATGAACTTATTGTATCTGTATTTAAAATACATGTGCCTAAAAGAATCATCATTAATTAAATTGCAAAATCTAATAATAATTAATAAAAATTAATACACAATTTTTATTGAGAGAAAAATTAACTTACTGAAGAAAGAACGAAGAAGTGGATTGTCAATGAATTTATGAAGTCTTGTTCTCACCAAAAAATAATCAATAATATCAGCATTATAATCAATATCGATTTTATCATTATTTAAACGTAATTCACCTTCATCGGAATTTTCTGGGAATTTTGCTTTAACTGTAAATTCATTAGTTTTATCCCAATCTATACTGCTACTGTTACCACCGATAAAATCATAAAAAGCTCGCATACGCCATCCAACCTTTAATAAATTTTCAGGTAACTGCAAGAAGAGTTTTCAAAATAATACCTCGCATTTCTGCGAGTTTTTTGTTTCTTTTTTTTTTGCCAATTGAAACACAATTGAAAAGTAAATTTGGAAAAATGATCTGAAAATTAAGCAAATTTATAAAAAAAAAAAAATAACTTACATTTTCAAATTTAACATTGGCTTGATAATTTCTTAAAGTTGATAATTCTCTTGATGTTTCGTAACAAGCTTGTGTATAAGGAACAAAAGCTTTTCCTTCCGTTTGCTTTCGACAAACATTAAATGGCCATTTATCTTCCAAACTGGAAAATTTTTGCTCACGACTCACTTCTCCGGATAATTTTAATAATAACGATGATCCACTACATTTTCCTTTTGCTGTTTCTCCATAGCCCCAAACAATATTCATTTTTACTGACGATGGATTACTTGCGTTTGTACTCAAAAAATTCCATTCCCATGGAACTTCTCTTTCTCCATCAAAGCAAATCTATTTATACATTTATTATTATTTAGATTGTGACAATAAAAAAAATAGAAAATAATGTTACTTACCTTCAAAACTTTTTCACCCGGAGTAGTTCGACTGGCTTTTATTTTAAGAGAATCAGACATCCAACTTGTAATATCATAAACAAGTTTCATGTCCCATTGATGAAGAATTTTTGAGGAACTTAAATCTCTATGTTTCAACGAAATTAAATGGTACTTGTCACTTTTGGAATATTCAATTTTTACCTTAAAAAAATTATTTTATATATTAAATTTGTTTATTAATTAAAGAAATTAATTAAAGAATTATTAATTAAAGAAAATTATTATTACCTCAGTAGAGTATAAATTTGTCGGTTCAAAATGGCCCAAAATGCCACAACTGCCTCTAGGTGGAACGTATGAAAAATAATCAATGTAATGCATGCCCATTAGAATAAATTGCATAATAGGCGATTTTCTAAAAGGAATAAATAAAATTAAAATCTAAATAAAATAAAATAGAATAAGAAATAAACAATTTTTCACTCACTGATGATTACTGCGATGAGAAAGCATTACATTTTGAATGACATTTTCTTTCGATATTATTTTTTCACAATCAAATACTTGAATTTTCAATCGACCACCCAATTCAGGAATATTTGACTCGTATAAAATTTTTGTCTACATGGAACATCTGTTATATTTAGAGAAAATAATGGAAAACTCCACAAAAAAAAAATAAATAAAATCATAAAAATTACCTTCATTGGATCGGTGTAACTTTTCTTCACTGTAAAATCTCTTATACAATCTGGACAAATATTTTTTAATTTTTTATTTACTTTTGCACCACGAATACTCGTCACTGTACGCACATGAGCTGTTACTCCAGTTTTCATACCATCTGTGAATTTTATTTATAAAATATTATTTTTGAAATTGAGTGATTTGATTTTAAAAAAATTCAAAATTGATTTTTTTTTTTACCTTCCAAAGTATTGTAAGAGACAAATAATTTATCTTGGAGTCCAAATGTGACATTTATTGGCAAATAACCGTGAACTGATTGAGCGCGTTCTGCAACGTACCATAAATCTATCAAAGGATTGTAATTTTCAATTACTTGTGTTCCATGGATTGTAGTCCTTTAAAAAAAAAAATATTCAATATAAAAATAAATAATTTAAAAATTAATTAAATTTAAACAATTTTATTACCTCAAAATGACATGATTTTTTCTTGAATTAGGAACATGAGTAAAATTTCCCCTCATAGAAAATAGAGAATTTGCTGTAGCGGCAATTCTTGCATTTGTCCCTAAATCCGTAACATGTACTGATTCCATTATTAAAGGAACATGAATTCGTTGTTCATTTTTGTGAAATTCCATATTTTGATAAAGATGAAATGTACTTTGTTGCAATGAATCAATAACTAAATAAACAAAATTTTTATGAATTTAATATGACAAATAAAAAAAATAATTAAACAAGAAATAATTGTTTTTTACTTACATTGAAATGCTTTTACCAAAGATGATCGATTCAAATGTAAACAAAGAACCGCTTTTTCTTGAACTCTTACAATTATTTCAAAATGTGGTGGAGTTAAACTTTTTGGATTTATCTTAAATCTCTTTAATATATCCGAAATTCTTGTTGGACTATCCAAATATGTTGTCATTGTGTGTAAAAAACCTTCGGCTTTTATGTACAACTGAAAAAATTTCAAATTGAAATAAATGTTCTATTTTTTTTTTTGATTTTTTAAATTTGAAAAATACAAAAAGAAATAATAATTTTTTAAACTTACGGAAACGTGATTTAGATTAATTCCACTTCCATGATTATTTAAAGTAACATATATAACTTCAGGCATATTTGTCATTGGATTGGCAATTAAAATTCCATGAATCATTGCACCAAAATGCCTATAGGTATCTTGATAATCAAATAAATAATTGCCAGTGACAATAAATTTATTTCTCATTATTTTCGGTAGCATTCGAGTAAATTGTGCAGCTAATCCTCCACTAAAAAAAAAAATTGTTTTTTTTTTTCATTATTAATGAGAAAAATTATAACTTTATAATACGTGAAAAAAAATTGTTATTACATGTGGACGTAACATGGAAAATTTGTTCGTTCCATAGACTTCAAAGTTGTGTAGAAAAAATTATAAAGATGCATATCTGGTTCACCTTTCATGTACCAATAAAGTGATATTAATCGACTTGGTGATGGATTTGAAACTATCAATAAAGTAAGTGCCGCAATTCTTAATTCCAAATGTTCCGTTCGATTAATTAATATTGGCCAATAGACTGGATAAATCTTTAATGATGAAAATATAATTTAAAAATTAACAATTTAGAACAAATTAATGAGAGTAAAATTCAAAATAAATTCCTAATTTTGTCATTGTTTAAAAAAATTTAATTAAAGTATTAATTCTAAAATAAATAGAATAAATGAAAATATAATCTTCAATTTAAAATAGAAAAAGAATTATAAAAATTACCACATCAGGTCTTAAAGGTGCAGTTGGAAGGGAAGCCCATGCGGCTGCTACACGAAGATGCCTCGATTCCGAATTACTTCCACTTGCAATTGGTTCGAGAAATTCCACAATTCTTCCCAATTGTATATTCGCTAATCCTTGTAGCCAAACCATTTTTTTTTCATATTGCTGACTTTCTACAATATTGAAATAACATTTAAAATCACTTTCGCTTAAAAAAAAAAAAAAAAAAAATGAAAAATAATATAATTTAAAAAAATTTATAAAATTAATGTTGAAATCAAAAATGTTTATAATTACCAGTGAATTTGTCCAGGTATAACTTAACGTAATCATCCAACATTTCGTATGGACAATTTGACAAACATGTTTTGTAAATTAATGTTCCAAACGTTAAAATTCCAGTATTTTGCACTTCGGGTGCAATTTTATCAGGAAAATTTAAAAACGGTTCTAAATTCACGAGAAATTGAATTTCCAATTTTTTTATATGAAATGGAAGATTACTCAATAATTGAATGGCAGTAATGTTAGAAACATTTCTCTGTTGAATCACATCCAAAATAAATAGAGCCGATTCAGGAGTTCCAATTTGAGGCACAGCTTCCAAAAACATATTCCTTTAAATATTTTATTATTTATTATTATCAATAATTAATTTATCGAATTAAAAAATTGTCATGGAAAAAATATTTTCAAATTATCGTAAAATTTTTATACCTGACAGTTTCCTCCTTATAACTCGTTCCAGAAATATTATTATAAACAATATGTAAATCTTGTCGATTTAATGTCACCAAATGATAAAGAAGAATTGAAATTGTTGTATTATGTAGATTATTTATTTCTGTATCTATTCCTGGATTTTCGAGTCGTTGACTTAATCGATCGAGAAGAACTACAATCTGTTAAAAAAAGAAAAATAAATACAGATTTTATAAAATATAAATTATTGAATTTAAATAATTATTTAAAGAACTTACAGTTTTATATGAATCTTCTTTTTCAAAAATTCCACGTCCTTGTGTTAAATCTTCATCAGGAAGTACATGCTGAAGAGATTTTATTTGCAGTGAGGGAATTTTCATTTCCATTGGATCAATATCATTTATCGATAACAATTGAAAACGTTGTCTATATAAAATGGAAAATTATATAATTAATTTTTAGAATTAACAATAAAGTTAAATTATAAAAAAATAAATATTAAAAAAAAAAGATTTTCAAAAACTTACTGTGTAAAAATATATTGAGCTTCTCCAAGACTTTGAAAGGGTTGCACATAAATACCACCAGTTGCATTAATAAATGAAATAATCATTTCACTATTATTGTAAAATACTTGATAAAATCTTTCACTTGATTTTAAAATTGGATTCTGAAATAACAATTTTAAATGTTAAATATTAATTAATATTAATTTTTTTATTATTATATTTACCTGATCATCATTGGGACATTGCATTCGAGGAACATTACTCCAATTTCTTTGCGAATGTCCTCGACATGTTCGAGGATCTACTGTCTTTCTAATTAATTTTTCAGTTAACGATTCATTTGTAACTACATATCCAATCGAACACTGACCATAATGATTTACCTAAATTTAAAAAATTCAGATTAATAAAATTTCTTTTAAAAATTAAAACGAAATTTATAAATATTTAGTTTAATTCAAATTAATTTGAATATAATTAATTTACAAAAAAAAAAAAAAACAAAGAATGAATATTACCTCTGTTGAAGTGAATGCAACTTCTTTTTCTAAATTTTCTAAATCAAGTTGAAAAATTGCAGCTATACTTCTTTTGATATTAGTGGCCCAAATTTGTTCAGTTTCAATACTAAAATTTTCTATTAAGCCCATTTTGTTATAATCAATTTTAAATGGTTTTAAAAGTTCATCAACCGTTTCATTAGCGTCTACATTTTTTCCTTTTTCATTTCCTGGTCCATTCCAAGAATTTATTTTCAATGACTTCAGCTGAAAAATTTTTTTACTTTTATTTTACAAAATATAAAAAATTTGTCAGAAAATTTGAAAAAATATATTTTTTTGAAAAAAAAATGTAATAAATAATTATTTATTATGTAGGTAAAAAAAATGAGAGAAAATTGAAAAATAATTTTCAATTTTCTACCTTCATTAAAGCTGAATTTTCTTCGGCTATAATAGACAAAATTCCTTCGAAACCCCATGAAGACGAGGCCCTTGAGGGTACAAAAACTCCGGTATTCGAAATTGCTTCATAAGAATATGTATATATTTTTCCCTTCATAAACAAACTTTCCGAACGGATCACACAGAGAAAGATAAGAATGAATGTAATTCTTCGTCCATAGTGTCGGGACAGATGCCTGTCAAAGAGATCATCTAAAACAAACAGATAAAAACTTATATTTCTATATATATGTGATAAAACTGAACTTTGACTTAGAATGAGAAAAGAAAATTTATTTTCAAAAAATTGTATGACTAACTTTTGGGAAATTTAATTCAATATATAAAGTCACATTCTAAAAGAATTTATTATTAAAATTTTAATAATAAAAAAAAACTATATTTGACTCAGCGCCTATTATTGAAATTATTCAAAAAAAATAATATTAAAACAATTCTAAACTCTTTGCAATTAAAATCTTTTTATTTCTTTCTTTTAAATTCCAATTTTAATAGGAATTAAATAATATATTTTTCAAATGTATTAATAATTTTTTTAAAAAAAAGTAAATAGTAACGTAAAAATTTTCTAACAAAACAGAAATCCCAAAATTTATTTTCCAAAAAAAAAAAAAAATAATAATTACTAATATATTTAGAAAAACAAATTATTTTCGTTTTGTAATTTATCAAATTATTCAAATTTATTAAAAATTAACCAATTAATTAGGAATTGAATTTCATATGAAGATAATTGTTATCAATGTAAAAAAAAAAAGAAGAAACAAATTTAAATTAAAAAGAGAATCTAAAATTAGCGATTGAAAAAAAAATAGCGCGTTAAGATTAAAAAAAAAAAAAAAAAAAAAAAAAATATTGTTGGTAATGTACCTGGAGATCTCATGGTGTGGGAGAAGATTCTGTCACAACTGAACTGCGGGTTCACAAAGTCAAGAGATGACCTCACACTCTCTTAATATCTCATTGGCTCACAAATACGTTCAACATATAAGGAATGTGTGAGTCTAATCTTCCGCTCTCTTTATTTCCAACATAGTAAAATTAGGCATTTCTCTCCCTTTTTTCTCTCTTTAATATTTTTATGATAAAAACGAAATAACTTCCATTATAAATAAGCTTTTCTCATCATTTTTTTTTCACATATTTGTTAATTTTGAAAATAAAATTCCATAAGATTTATTTCAAATAAACTGAAAGCAATAGAGAATAAACCAGAAGGATTAAGATAAGAAGAACTTTGACCTTTTTACCTACCAAAGAACTTCACTATCTTTTCTTTCAGTCAGACAAATGCATTTTGAATTTTTTTTTTTCTAAGGTGATTTTTATCCACACAAGTAGGAAAGAAAGCTGTAAAAAAAAATTTTCAATTTTTTTAATAATAATAAATAATTGTAAGGATTTTGCTTTTCAATTGTAATTAACAAGATCGATTTTTCTTTTTCCCCAAGTCCTGTTTATTTTCTTTGACAATTATGTACATAATAAAGTTAGACAAACTTGAAAATTACGCTATTAAGCGTCAACTGTACAAAATTCTAATTTTTTCGTCTAAAAAAAAATTGTGACGTTTTTTATTTTCTTTTTTTTTATTTATATCGTTATAAAGCTATATATGCATTTACAAGTGTAATGTGTTTTCAAACACAAAAAGAAAAAAGTAATAATACTAATAAATAAAATAAAAAAAAACAAACACTCATTTTGAGAAAAAAAAAAAAATGACGAAAAAAAGAGAGAACACTTTTGAAAAATAGCACAAACGACGATTCACGACGGCTTGATTACTTTTAGAATGGATTTCGAATATTCCCAGGATTCGCTGAAACATAAGATTAAATTTTTATGTTTGCATATAAAAATGACCAATTATTAAAATTTGAAATCTTTTCAGTGACAAAAAAAATATACTGTTTTTAATTAACTTACTTATGAGCTGGATTCGCTTGATCTAATTGTTCGCTCAATTGAAGAATCAAATTGGCAAACATTTTCAAATGTTCAATAGTTTCGCCCTGTAGCCATGTTCGTGGTAATGTACTCATAATCTAAAGAAATTAAATTTTGTTTGAATATTAATCAAATAATTTAAATACGTTTATCAAAAATTTAGAACTTAAGTTTTTTTTTTCTTAGCGGCAAAAATTATTGAAATATTTCTCTATTAATTATTTTTATGTCATACCATATTTGCCTTTAATAGTGCATCAGTTGGAGGAGAAACTCTCAAACCAGCTAAAAGATAACGATTTAAAAGTGATCCAAGTGCCAAATTTTTAAGCCGCGTATCACCTAAAAGTCCTTGCCAACTAAGCAAATTTCGAAGAAGTTTAACAGCCATTGCAAATTGTCTTTGAAAAAATTGATGTCTAGTATCTAAAACTCTGTAAATTAAAAGTTTATTATTTCTTTTCTTAATTAATAATCAACTATAATCAACTATTAAAAATCAGTGAAAAATTGAAAACATACTGTTTAGGTAAAATTGGAATGAAGACATCATTTTCAACAGCGGATTGAATTTTATCAAAAATAGCACTAAAAAGACTTCCTAAAAGTTTACTTGAATCATTAAGATTTGGATAATCTCTTATTAATCTTTTTATTGTTCCTATAAGACGAAGTGTTTGTGATGTGGACATTGGATCCCAAACTTTTTCCACAATTGCTGAGATGGAAAATAAATATTAATAAATAAATAAATTCTCAAAGTAAACGAATAAATTATACTTACAAGTTAACCTAGGAATGACAATTTTTTCTATTGTTGATGGCACCAATCGAACATCTGGATCTTTTTTAAGTGACTCTTCAGTTTCTTTACTATCCCACGAATATAAAAGTAATGAACTATACCATTTTGTTCGTTCTAAATCCGTATTTTCCTGAAAATAATCAAAAAATTAATTAATCTTTAATTTGAAATTAATTTTTAATTAAATTTCGTTTTGTAATATTTACTTTTATTGGATTCCAGGTAATTAACTGTAATCTTATTAAAGGTGAAATCATTTTTGGAATACACATGGAAACATAAGCGTCAGTATAAGCTTCCAAATGTGTTGATTTCCATGTTTCTAATTTAGAAAGAATTCCCTTAACAGTTGAAAAATCATCCACAACATCAGAGAAAATTTCCTCTGTTTCTTCATCAATTTCCTCTGCAAAAAAAAAAAAGATGAAATTAATTAAAAAAGAATAATTAAATTTTCACAAAATTTAATTAATTATTTTACCCTTAGCTTGTTTAAAGGCGAGATTTTGTTGCTCTGTAACTTCATCGTCACTTGACATTCCATCCATATGTTTTGGACCATTTGATGCTAATTCTCTCGCTCTTCTTCGACGAGCACGTCTTCCCTCTCTTTCTGTAGCTCTTCGAATTCTTGCATCATCCTCTGGACCTCTTCTCATTGTCTGTCCCCCTGAGAAAAAAAGCAAAACCAAATAATTAATTATTTAACAAAAATTAAAATAAAATAAAAAGAAAAGATGTTTAAAAATGAGTTTAAATAGTATATGTTTTTTTTAAGGAAAATATAACTGACTTGCAGCGGTGGTGATTTCCTCGGCTTGATCTCTCGTATCTTGTCGACGTCTTTCCATTAATTCCAAAGCTCTTTTTCCATAGAGATCCAACCAGCGTTGCTCCAATCCAACAACCAAAGGCAGCTAACAAATAAATTTTGATTTAAAATAACCTTCGCTAAGAAACACTCCAATGTCTTTGGAAGTTATGTGATAGAAAAAATTTATAAATTCAAATTAATTTCAATGATAATAAAATCAATCTTCCAAAGTCATTGCTGAATTTTCTTTTTAATACTTACAAAAACCAGTGATAGAAAAAAATTTCATAACAATTTTCGTCATATTTCATTTTTTATTGTAAAATGAAAATTTTGATTCTTAATACAGAGAAGATTAAGACCCCCGGCAATTCTTTTTTTTTTTTTAATAAAAAATTTTTATTTACTATTTTTGTTTTCTTTCAATTCAATTTAAAGAACTGAATTTTTTTTTTCAAAAAGAATACTTTGCGGAAAAATGACTGAAAATTCAAGAAAAAGAGACAAAAAAAAAAAAAAAAGAGAAAGAGTTCGAGGGATGCCAATCATGGTATGGAAAACCCTGGTGCTCATAGAAAAAAAAGAAAAAAACGTGACAGCGTATCAACCCACCTTCTCATCAAGACACTCTACCAAGTCAGTGACATACCCACGCAACTCTTGGTAATAATTGAAGCGTTGTGCTAACAATGGCGCACGTTCTTTTCCTTCATCCAATTCCTTCACCGTTTGCACAAGATCTTCTTTTAATTGTTCCTGATCCAATTGATGACGTCGATAAACTTCCTTCAAGCTTTCCAATCTGAAAATTGGAATTATTTTAAAAAAAAATTCATTTTAAAATTAATTTAATTTTTTTTTAATTTTCGATCTAAGGAAAAATTTACCTAGCACGCATTTTATTTAAAACTTCCTCAGGAGTGACGGGCACTGTTTTCATTGGATCTGGCGGATGAATTACTGGCGGAGGTGGTGGCGCTGGCATCATTATCATCTCCAAAGGAACTCCTGGTGCAATCATTTGACTTGTATTCATATTTACATTGTACTGTTGCTGAATAAGAGATTCCTGTTGTGCCGCTGCTATCTAAATATTCGAAATAAATTTTCATTATGTAAATATTTTTATTATTTATACAAGGTAAGAAATAAAATAATTATAGTACAAAAATAAAACATACTTGAGCACCCGTCACACCTTTCCGAAATTGTTGAGCTTCCCATTCCTCTTCTCCATTTCCATGTTCACTTTCCTCATCATCTGAAACTATGAAAATTTGTAAAAACAAATAGTTACTAAAAAAAAAAAACATTTAATAATTATTAACTATAATAATAAAAAAATAAAGAAAACTTACAATTTTTTGTAGTCTGCGACGCAAAAATAGCTTCCCTTCTCTTTTCCTTATCCCTGGCTTCCATATTCACCATCATATCAAGCCTTTCTTCAGAATCATCATCACTTCTATCGTGATCCTCTTCTCTAATTAATCTCGATTTTCCTTTCTCATCACTGTAATTAAAATTTTTTTATTTTATTTCTATTAATTTATTTTGTTTTCAAATAATAATTTTGAATTTACCTTCGATCCTCAATGGGAATATAATCAGTTCCCAATTCTCGAGCCTTTTGCCTTCTTTTACGTGCCGCGTGAATCATAGCAGCATCCGGAATACATCCACCTGTAAAATTAATAATTAATTGATTTCTTTCTTTTCTTTTCAAATATCAAACAAAAATTCAACATACTTTCTAAAAACATTTTCATGCTGTCTGTTTTATTTGAATTTTTATTCCTCTGATATTTATGTCCATCAATATCCTCTTCATCTTCTTCATTTGACGAGAAGTCATCTTTTCCAGCAGCCAATGCGGCTCTTCCATTTAAAATCAAAGGTCCAGTATTCTTTATTTTTACCTAATAAAAAGAAAGCAAAAAAAAAAAACAGTAATTAAAATTAAGGCACAAATTCATTAAAAAAAAATTCAACGATCCTTTTATTTCTTCAAACTATTTTTAAAATGTAACAAATTTTGTTTTAAATTTAAAAGTAAACTAAATTACTTTATCTTGTTTTTAAAAAATTAGATGAAAAAAATGTTGTTCCCTTAAAAATATTTCTGTAATAAAAATCAAAAAAAAAAAAAATAAGTGTAAAATAATTAATGTGTATTGTCAAAATCGTAGATATAGAGAAGTTTATCGAAGCCAGTAACTTGAAATTAATAGCAGACAATTAATACTAGTAAAACATCATAGAGATAGCTTACTACTAGATCATCTGTCTTTATTTCTAAATCTTTTTCCTGCTTAATAGACATGTTCGATGATTCAGAGTCCACTTGCATTTTCTCTTCACCTTTCTTTTTTTTTCTTTCGTGATCAAGTTGTTTCATCAGTTTTTTGCTTCTCGACGATTTCTTCACTTTAAAAACTTCTCCCTCATCGGCTATAAAAAAAAATTAATTAATTAAAAAGTGACTCCAAAATTCGAATTTAAATTTTCAAAACTAATTTTAAGTATTCTAAATTAAAATAATTGAATTTATGTATAAAATTAAATTAATGACCAATTAAATTTTAACCAAAAAAAAATTTTAATTTACATTCCAATGAAACCATTATAATAAATGATAATAGAATCTAGATAAACACATTCAATGAAGCAATTGTTAAAACATTATGTAATACTATAAGTAACTCATAGATCGTGAATTTCTAAAGAAACATAAAATTATAAAAAAAAAAAATATTTTATATTATAATTTCAAGCGACAAAATATTTACGAGCATTACAAGGTTATCGTAGAAATCGTTAACAGTTTATAAAAATATTTAAATATAGTGAAAAACATTCTTTTAAATTTATAATACCTTCCTCAAGCTCCTCTCCAAAGCTTAGGAGCGTTTGTTTGGGTTTTTCCTTCTTCTTTGGTTTTACTTTGACAATTGGAGCGTCTTCTGTCTCCATTCTGTTCTCATTATCTTCATCATCGTCGTTGAAATGTCGTCGACGAATATTTCGTTTTGGCTTATTAAAAAGCGACATTTTTCCTAGATTTTTTTTTACTGTTTTAATTCACTTTTTATTTTTCTACACAATTAAAACACAAATATTTAATTAATTAACAATTGTCAAACAACAATCACCGAATTATTGGCAATACACGAGACTTTTCCCAACACCTTGTAATCGCCATTTTTTTGGAACTGGTCTGAAATTATCTGTAAATTGTCTGAGGAGAATTCTAACCTAGTTATCGAAGTTTTTTTAGTTATATAACTAAAAACTATTAAATAGAAAAAAAAATTATTCTTTTTTTTATTATTTGATTTAAATTATTATTATTTAATTTGTTTTCAAAGAAATATCTTATTATTTTCTTATTTTTCGTGAAAATGTCACTTGAAGTAGGGCACATACAATCGATATATCGACATTGTTCGATTGTTTAATTTATCGAATTCAACATAACCTCTATTATTGTTTTTTAAACAGTTTGTATTTATTTTCAAAAAATAGAAAATTCAGAAGAAGAAACGTATTTTCTGTTTATAATCAAGTACTAATTATGTTCTGTATTATATAGGTATTTATAAATACTCATATATATACATATTTTTTGATATTTTCATCTTTTTTTGTATTTCTCATCCAAAAGTTGAGAATTCTGTTTATCATTCTGTTTAAAGGGAATATTAATATTGTTCAAAAAGATATTTATTTGTTTATAAAATAATCAACAGGTTATCAAATTAATTAAATGAAATAGAAAAAAAAATGATTACGAACGACTCGTGTTCTGTTACAATTGATGGCAATAAAACGGATATTTGTTTTAAAGTTTACAGGTAATTTTTGTATTTAAAAAACGCAGTTTAAAAAATAATTTCTTTTTTTTTAAAATAAGTTAAGTTTATAGAAATGTTGGTCTTATTTTCAGCAATCGAATTTTTTTAATTCTTTCTCAATACAGAAAGTTTGGATCTTTTATTACAGTTGAAAAAGAATCTGGTATTAGAGAATTCAACAGTGACGTTTATAGTACAAAGTTAGTGATAAATTTAATTTTTTTTTTAAAATTCTTTTAAAATTTAACAATTAATTCATATTTTTTTTTCTTTTTTTAGAACTGTATTAGGTACTGACGCACCAGAAATTCACGCGGCAGCAAGATATATTGCCGAACAAACAAATATTGATCGCACTCTTCTTTTAACAATTTCATTAAAAGATTATAATCCAGATTTTATTAAAAAAATTGTCAATATATTGAATAAAATTAAATTGTGGTAAAAATTTTTTGACAAAAAAAAAAAATAAAAATAAGAAAAATGAGTCTTTTATTTGGTCAATTAGTTATTGGTCCACCAGGAAGTGGAAAAACAACTTATTGCAATGCAATGGGAAAGTTTCTTGAATCATTGGGAAGAAAAGTGGCGATTATAAATATTGGTAATGATTTTTTTTTTTTTATAATTTAAATTATTATAATTATATATATAATTTTTATGTATTTTTTAAAAAAAGATCCAGCTAATGAAAATATGGAATATACTCCAACGATAGATATTGCGAATTTAATAAAACTTGAAGAAGTAATGAAAATTCATAAATTGGGACCAAATGGAGCATTGATTTATTGTATGGAATTTTTAGAAGCAAATATAGATTGGCTTATTAAAAGAATACTTCAATTAAAGGATCATTATTTTTTATTAGACTGTCCTGGACAGGTAATTTAGAAAGAAAAAAAATTCTTTACATAATATTTTATATTTGCAAATTTATATTAATTTTTTTAATAGGTAGAATTGTTTACGCATCATGAGTCAATGAATTCAATAACAACGAAGTTATGCGAAAATTTGTTAAGATTGTGCAGTGTTAATTTAATTGATTCTCATCATTGCAGTGATCCTGGTAAAATTGGCTATAATTTTCTTTTTTAATTATGTATATAAAATTAATTATTAAATTTTGATTTTTTTTTTACACATATAGGAAAATATTTGTCCTCCCTAATGGTTTGTACAAGTACAATGCTAAATCTAGGTCTACCACATGTAAATGTAATGACAAAATTGGATGAATTAAAACGCTTCAGTGATAAACTTGATTTCAATCTCGATTTTTATACAGATGTTCTCGATTTAAAGTATCTTTTAGAGAAACTAGATGAGGATCCTTTAACAGCAAAGTATGTGGAAAAATTATATTTAAAAATAATTTACTAAAAAATAGAAACTAATTTTTAAAACAAAAAAATTACTATTTTTTAGATATAAAAAACTTAACGCTGCTTTAGTGGAAGTTATTGAGATGTATAGTTTAGTTACTTTCTTACCATTGGATGTTTCAAATAAGGCACTACTTTTAAAAGTGAAAAATGAAATTGATAAAGCCAATGGCTATATATTTGGTGGTAATGAACCGCAAGATATACAAACACTTTTGGCTTGTGCTGTGGGAGCTCAGACAGAAACCGAACGAGTTTCATCTCTTGATTCTTATATTTAAAAATTAAAACATTTATAATTTTTTTTATCTATTTACAATAAATTTCTTCACATTTATACTAATACTTACTCGTCGTCATTATTATTCGCTGGTGTTTGATTTACAAAAATTTGTGCTACATCATCGTAATCGTAAACACGTTTTAAAAATGTATCAACTAATTGTAGTCCCGATATATTCTGAAAATTGCACAAATTTCAATTAACTTAAAAATTAAATTAAATAGCCAAAAAAAAATTAATTATTTATGAAAATTAACTTACAATAAGTCCCACATTTAAAGGAACTAAGCACAAGGGAATGTAAGTTGATTCTCCAGGTTTGACGGTACCAATCATTTTATCGGAAATTCCACACCAAGCTATCGAACTATTGGATTGTAAATTTATTTGTAAATCCATATTTCTTTCACTGCAAGAAAAAAATGATTACAATATTTTTTTCAACAAAAGAAATTATATAAAAAAAAATGTTTTATTAAATTAAATCCTTGTTTTCATACTCACGAAGTATTAACGACATGACATTTAAAATTAATTGGTTCCTCGAGTTGATTATCATTAGGAATGTCTTTTAGAGTTACTCTCAAATCGCCGTAATCGGGAGCCTGAATAAAAAAAAATCACTAAATGTTCTTTTTTTTTTATTAATAGGTAATATTCTTGTTTTTTTTATTTAAGTATAAAATACAAACCATTCGCGACAATTGACTAGTTTGAAGACGACCTCTTTCTCCTAAATTACTTCTCCAAACAATATCCAATTTTCCAATATTTGTCGCATTATGCATCATTTTTGGATCTTTTAATAAACTCGGTTGTGGTTTTAAACAATAAAGATACTGACGACTTGATTTCGAATCCAATAAATTAACTTTACCAAATATCGATTCGTTTTCTTCGTTTGTCGTCTGTGATGAGACTGTTATGATATTAAAGAAAAAAATAAATAAATTAAAATTTCCCCCAAAAACAAATTAAACTTTAATCTTTTTTTCAATGATCTGAAAAAAAAACTTATTTTACCAGTAAATAAATGTGAAGATTCAAGAGAAACTTTTTCTAAACAAATCGGTCCAGCCGTTAAATTTTGAATTTGCGCCTCAAGATAAATTTCATCGGACTGAAAAAACAAATTAAAATCACAATATTTCAAAGAACTAAAGAAAAAGAATTAAAAATTTCAGAGGATCTTCTTTTTTTAATTACCTCAGCATTGAAAAATTTCGTTTTCACATCAAGAGGTTTCACGACTTGAAATTTGAAAAATTTTCTAAACGATTGCGATTGACCAATTGCATTTGCTAGTGTATAAGTTACTTCACACACGAGTCTAAAAAAAAAATTAAATATCAATTAAAGAAAATTAGAAAACATTTCTTAATTTGAAAAAAATAAACTCTAAAATTGTTTCTTACATATGTGTACCAATTTCTTTAACTTCATGATGAATAACTTCGTCAATTGTTCTATTTGGTGGTAGTTCTTTAATTTCTTCTTTATGATTTGATAATGGAATAATTTGAGTACTAGTTTGAAGATCCGCCTTTAAATTTGTAATTAAAAAATTGTAATTGTAATTAAAAACCGTTTGAATTTAATTAAATAACATTGTTAAACAAATAAAAGAAAATAAAAATTGGAATACAATTTTTTGAAAATAAAACTCACTTTTACTGTGATATTCGTTACTAATTGACTGCTTCCATTATGTACGCACAAATAACATGAAAATATTTCTCCTAAATAAATATTTCTGTAAAAAAAAAAATTATTTTACTTTCTTTTTAAATTATATTCAAATAGAAGGATTATTTTAATTATTATTAAAAATTAAATTGAAAACAAAAATCATTTACCCAAAACTTTGAGGAAAAACCATAAATTGACCAATGGCCAAGGTTTCCATTCCTTGAAGAGTTGTGCAATTATTTTTTAATTCATTGTTTAATGTATTGCCTGGTAAATCTGTGGCATCACATGTGACAACAATTGGACTGGCAAGAGTTGGCCTCGTTAATCGCATAACTATTTTAAAACAAATTAATATATAATTAACATTTTAATTTTTTTTTTGCAATAATTTACAAAATGAAAAAGCACATAACAAAAATCATATAAAAACAAAAAATTATTTTCTACACTTACAATTAATAAAAATAAAATTGTTAATTTATTATAATTTAACAAAAAAAAGTTATAAATAATAATTGAAACCTAACCTTTTAGCGCTAAAAGATGATCGCTCTTCGGTTTTACTTCCATTTTTCCTTAATTTCTTTAAAGTATTTTACACACACAACATTTGAATATAATATAAATAATTAGAAACTTAATTAATTTTCCTATCAGAAAGATAACAATAAAAAATATAATAAACGATGTTTGACAGGTGGATAACGATGACAACTGATGACAGATCACCATCACACGTGGTTATCAATTGTTAACAGAAGGAATGAGAAACGACGTTTCTTTTTCATATTCCGCGATGACACATTCAAATAGTGGCGCGAATTAAAAATTTTATTTTAGCCATAAAAAATAATTCTATTAAATTAAAACAAAATATTTTTATTTTTACAATTAAAATTTAATAAATTATCAAAGAATTTTAATATGTAAGTGTAAATCAAATAATTGCACTATAAAATTAAAATTTTTACTCATTTTTCGTGATTCTGAATTATAAGAGGTAAAAGTAATTAATTTACACAAATTATATATCTTTTAAGTTCAAATTACTTTATTCATAAAAATACGAATCCGACTTGCGTTTCAATTTCTACTCGATAACAATTTTTTTTAAAGTTAAATACTATATATGGAAAATGGTTTTGAATACAGAATATTGGTCACAGCAAGGAGAAATAATGAATAATGAGAAAATAAACAATTAACGAACTCAACGATTAACATTTTTTTGTCTTTATACGTTCATAAATATACGGTACACGAAGCTTATTTCGTCTCATCTTTAGTTTTTCTCCTTCTTTTAATTCTTAATTATAGTTTATCAATAATACCACAAATCTTAAATTTATCGTGAATAATCGAGTATAAAAAAGTTTGAAACGAACTAGAATATTGTTTATATTGTTTTTTTTTTCTGTAAGAACCTCTAGTACTATTTATATACATAGATAATTTGACAAAAAAAAAAATTTTTTTTTCATTTCTAATACACTTGTATTATTTATTATCTCAAGTCTAGCATCACTCAATGAGAATATCTTACACTTTCCAACTTACAGAATTTTTCCTTTTTAAATAATTAATACTGTAAGAGGATACATTTTAACTAACTATTAAGGCAGTACGGTAATATGGCTTCATTTATACAATAAATTTCAACATTCTGCACTTTTTTTGTCAAAATTTTCACTTATCTTTCGTCCATGCCAAAAAAAAAGAAAATTTACCGAAAATTAATTTTTTTATTACATTTCGTTGTTTTTCTTGAGCAATTATAAATTTTTAATTAATTATTTTTGGTATGATTCAAAAAAAAAAAAGTTTTATGCTTCAAATTAAATTTTCCTTAGGAACAAATTTTTATATACAATTTGTTTTTATCGGAATGGAAGTATAAATTTTTGGCATGGACTTATATTATTTTGCTTTTATCTCTCACAAGATATGTGCGTGTTTTTTTTTTTTTTTTTTTTTTTTAATTAAATTATAAAATTATTGAACGAAACATAACAATAACTTTCGAAAATACAATTATTGAATCTAATGGAAATATAAATTAAAAATTTTCTAATTATCTAACAATTAAGAATGTGTGATTGCAATAATGGCCGATAATTTTTCTATTAATCTATTTGGCATGACTTTAAAGACAGAGATCCTCTTTTTCTTTATATTTTAATAATAACAATAATACTATTTAAGTACTATTTACAGTACTTAATCCATTGAAAAAAGAAAACTTTTTTTTTATGATTTCATTGCATCATCTAATTTCTACCGAGTTTTTCTTTTTTTTTGAACCATTTTTATCTAATATTTAACTAACAAATTATTTTTAAATAGAAAAATAAAGAGAGATTTCGCGAAATCGCAAGAGGATTGTTTTTGTTTTTTTAAATAAATTCTTAACATTCAAAAGAAATATTGAAATAATTTAAACACAAATATAGAAAAAAAAAATCGAAGTAACGTCTCAAAATTCTAGAAATTGCAAATCATTGATATTCTATGTTTAAAATTAAAAATAAGGTACACAGCCTTAAGACTCTTTTTTAAAGTCCATCAATGAAAAGTTAAACGCAAAAAAAAGAGAAAATTCAGCCGTTAATTTCTTGATTGATATTCAAAATGGCTGATTCAAATTGTTCTAGTAATTCAATTTTCTCAGATGATACCGAATCAATAATTATTGATTCCTTGATTTCTAGACTCGAAACGTTGCTTTGATGAGAATTATTAATTTCTTCGACTGGAATATTATTTACCTTATTTTCATCGATTATTAATGGTCTAGAATTGTCGCTAATTAAGTCTTGACTCTCAATGTCAGCCTTTTCATCAGATATTGAAATATTTTTATCAATTATTTCAATTGAGTCATCCTGTTTTTTAATGCAGGATTTTTCTATTGTAGCACTCTTTTCCAAATCATCAATTTCATTGCTAGTGTGCTTACGTTCAGAAATAATAAAATCTAATGTTCCTTTTATTAAATTGTACAAATTTTGCAAATCATCAGTTATCTCATTGGATTCTTTTATTAATGATAATGAAGAAGAAGAAGAAGAAGAATTTGAAATTATTTCCTCATTCTTATCAGTCTCAATATTATTGATTATTACTTCGGGAGATTCACAATCACGTTCATCAGTATCATCAATTGTAACTTCCATCACAGATGATTGAATCACATTTTTTTCTAAATCATTATTATCATCATCATCATCATCATCATCATTATCATCATCATCATCATCCTCCTCATCCTCATCATTGTTGAGTGTAATAATTTCCCTTGTTTCGGGACTTTTTTTCGTTTTTCTTTCATATGTCTTTGTATTGAGCTTATTTTTTAATTTATCGTTACAAATATTTGAATTTATTTTTTTATCCGTAAAATTTAACTTTGTTCTAGATGGCGCTGATATATGCGCTTCTTCCAATTTCACGTGTTCGGTATTATTTGTGGACTGGATACTCCGAAGTTCACCTGATGTTTTTCGGTCATAACATTGTGAGTTTTCGATTTGAGAAAATTGCCGAATGTTTGTGCAGTCTCCTCGTTCTGTTGTTGTTCTTCTTTGTGTTTCACTTGAACTACCGGCGATGATATTGGACTTGTTATTGACTGAAAAAATAAAATGAAAAGAAATTTGAATTGTTGAATAAAATTAATTTTATAAAAATTTTATATATATATATATATATATATATATATATATATATATATTTAAATTATTGCCACATTTTTATTGACGAATATTAATTTTATTTGTCGATAAAAATTGTAATTCTTTTTTTTTAAAAAAAATAAACATTTACCTGAGAACAATGGGTTGAGTAAGTTACCGAATCCTGATGATGAGCTTTTGTCGTTAGAATTGTCTTCGTCGGATGATGAACTATCAAATCCGTGTTGTCGGTTATTGGACACGTAGATTCTGTTGAGACCGGGTAAACTGCGAGTGTTGTTTGACTTTTTACTAGTAGAAGTGTTTGATTCTGATCGGCGATTGATGACTTTATTGTTGTTGTTGTTGATGAAGGGATGTGTTGATTGGATGAGAGGCATTTCGGGGTTACCGTGTGTTGCACTGTAGCCACATGGGCTTGACAATTGATAGTTAAGGATTGGGTTGTTTTGTCGACTATTTCCTCCTCCATTGAAATTCGTTGGTTCGGGGATTTTTTTAACGACGAGATATGATTGTTGCTGTTTATCACGATTGTCTGATGATGATTCTTGATGGGATGATGATGATGATTTTGGCCACTCGGATTTGGACTTATTGATATAGGTGGTGTTTCCTGAGTGGGTGAAATGATCGATGACTCGGATTTCTGAGGGATCGATTCGATTATTGATTGTTGGATTTTTGACGTTATTGGTGATGGACATTGCACTTGTGGAGATTGGGATGAGATAAGTGGAAGATGGCAATTGATTGATTCCGAAATTTGTGGGCATGATGTTTCTTTTTGAAGTTGCATCAGTTTTATGAAATCCACGAGTCGTTTTATTGATTTTTGGGTCTTCTCTTGTTTTCCTAATGCCTCTTGCCGTGTACGACGCTGTAGCTGGAGAAGAAAATTATATTTTTAAATTAAAAATTAATACAATAATTAAAATAAATATTATCGAAAAACAATTCTATAACATTTAGATAAGTTTAAAATTTCTAATTGAGTTTCCAATTTCTCTGTAAAAATTAATAATAAACAAGCATTTCTACTAAATTGCACTCACAGAAGAAATAATTAAAATATTGTAATATTAAATTATTCGATATATATATATATATGTGTGTCGCTAAAAATATTTTAGTCTCAGTGCGAGAGATAAATTTAAGTCAAGTTGAACAATTCTCCTAAGATAGAATAAGGATAAAAATACTAAAATAAATTATAAACCGAACGAACGAAAGCAAAAGCGTGGAACTTGCAGGTTTTTCGTGTATACAAAAGAAACATAAAGCACGGCAACAATTAATAGAAATTCTCTCTCTAAAAAAAAAGATAGAAAAAAAAAGTAAAAATAGCATTCCAAAAAATTAAATAAAATTTGAAAATATTTTTTAATATTCAATTATTTCAAATTCTTATACGCAGGTCGCAAAACGAACCTGAAGAGATTGGCTGAGTAGCTGAGATCGTTTTTCCAATTCATAAACCTGCAATCTCAGTTCCGAGTTTCGCTCGCGCAGCTCATATCTTTCTCTCTCTTTTTCCTCTGTAAGACATTGCGCGTTTTCATTACCTCACTTTCTCACGCGCGAAAGACCAAAAAAGTTCTTCCCTTGTCATAAATTGATTTTTTTTAAAATTGTTTTCAACAATTTAACTATAAAGTACGATTAATAATTCTAAAAATTATTTAATGAATTTGTAATTTAAAAAAAAGAAAAAAAAAAGAAATTGAAAGAACTTTTTCATCAGTCGCTCATTAAAGAACAACTATTCTACAGGCAAAAAACTTTTATAAATAAAAAAAAAAAAAACAAAAAAACAAATAAACGTAAAAAAAATTACCCAATTCGTTTTCCTTTTTGCAAATTACTCCTGAAAATGTGGAATTATCTTTTAAATTGTTCGCACAAGCGGGACAAATTTTCGAAGGCGGTGGTGAAATTGAATGACAAGAAATGTGATACTTCGATGAGCATTGTTGACATACTGTCAATGTTCCTGAGGGAAAAAAACGAGAAAATTGTTTTTTTTTTAAAAAAACAATGAAACTTTTTTCATTCAATATCAACATTTTTTTTTTTTAAATAAATTTAAAAATCAATTTTCATTCTATTGATTCATTAACTTTAAAATAATAATAATTTTTTTTTTACCTGGATTTCGACAGCTTATACAGATTGCTGAATCGGCTTCAATTCTTTCAATTGTTAAACTTGATGGTAATCCTGGAATATGAACGACTTTACTGCCAAGAGATTTATTATTTTGCAATTGAGCATTTTCATTTCCATTCTTCGTCAAAATTTTATTTTCCATTCCATTTCTCAATATATTTGGTTTTGCATTAACTTTTTGTGTTGAGTTTAAATTTTTTGATGAATTTTTCGTGGACGGTGGTAGTGATTTATTGGATATTTTTCCCGGTGGAGGTGATGGTCCAATTGACCTAGCAGTACTTTGTCGCGTTTGTGGCGCTTTTCCGGCCGACTGCAAATATGAATACCTCTTTCGTTTCTGAAACATTCATTGATTTATTATTATTTTTTTTTCTAATTTTCTGTTATTTAATTTGAATTTGTTTTTTTGAGTTTTATATCAATTAGTAGATTTATTTCTTAGAAGATTAATAAATTCAAAACAAAAATATTTTTTAATTAATAAGAAAACTAAAATTTTAAATAAAAAAGAAGATGAGAGTATTTTTCATCTTTTGATTTTCAAGTTTCAACCTCTTTCGTTTCTGAAACATTCATTGATTTATTATTATTTTTTTTTCTAATTTTCTGTTATTTAATTTGAATTTGTTTTTTTTTTTTTTGAGTTTTATATCAATTAGTAGATTTATTTCTTAGAAAATTAATAAATTCAAAACAAAAATATTTTTTAATTAATAAGAAAACTAAAATTTTATATGAAAAAGAAGATGAGAGTATTTTTCATCTTTTGATTTTCAAGTTTATTAAAGCTTTCTTATTTTGCAAACAAAGTGAATTGTTGTATAAATGGAAAATGCTTTTTGTGCAATATTTGAAAGCAATTATTTTCTTTACAAAAGGCTTTTGGTATATATATTCATTACCGTTGGCAGTTCCCAATTGGAGTACACAAATTGATGATTCGCCGTCCTTCTGCGCTTCCTTTCCGCTTTTCTATTCTGCAATTCTATATTCATTGTCGTGGTAATGAGACCGAGAGTCTCAAGGAAGGAAACCTGCATCGAAGATCCAATGCTGCATTCCTCTTCCATATCCTGTTTTTCGTTTGAATTTTCATCCGCTGAAATTTCAACGACGTCGTCCTCGTAGGAAATCGATTCCACCGAATTTGAACGTTCTCGGCTAAAAACAAACATAAAAAAAAACGTTTCAATATTATTTTCTTATAATTTATCTAATAATTAATTTTTCAATAATTGTAAAAAAATTTAAAGTTTTTTTTTAAATTAATTTTCTTTTAAAGTCACAAAAAAATAGAAGAAAAGTTTTTATAATTTTGATTACTTTGAGCAATCATTAAAAAACGTTTCAATATTATTCTCTTATAATTTATCTAATAATTAATTTTTCAATAATTGTAAAAAAATGTAGTTTTTTTTTAAATTAATTTTCTTTTAAAGTCACAAAAAAAAGAAGAAAAGTTTTTTATAATTTTGATTACTTTGAGCAATCATTTTCCTGTGAAGGAGATGAATCATCGGTATTTCTAATTTCTTCTTCATAATCTTCTTTTTTTATCATTCCATTGATATTTGTGAGATTTTTCGAGTCAGTTGATTCTTCATTCGTCTCATTGTTGTTGATGATATGATTATTATTATTCAATCCCAAAAGTGAAGCTACAGAAACTTTCGACCCGTTTGCGCTCTCTGCCTTTAAAGTCTCGACTTCCGTGCGCAGACGTTGAACCACTTGCTTCTGCGTAAAGAAAATTGAAAACTATTTCACTCATCAGAACATTACAAAACTTTTCTCGTATAAACCCAAGAGAGGGTTTTCGAGCTCAAAATTATGCCTCATAATAAGAGAGAGAGAGAGAGAAGAGAGAAACAAGGAATCATATTTAATGTACTTTTAAATCTAATTTGTTGCAACATTACATCCTACAAAAAAAAAAATTAAGATTGCAAATTAAAATTTAATAATTTATGATTTTTCACATCTAAAGCTAAATTGTCATTAACTTACTCTGAATAAATTTATTTAAACTTTATTAAACATTAATTAACCTAATATATGCAAAAAATTCGGTTATTTAAAAAATATCCAAAATTGAGATTCAGGAATTTATCGAACTTTTGGAAATTTTTTTTTTTTTTTTTATAAAAAATCATAAATTGAATTCGAAAGTGAGAGAGAGAGAGAAGGGGAATCGATAATTAAGAATGACATAAAGAATCTGTTGAAAATTCTCAACTTCCAAGGTTGTTAAAAGTTTCTAGAAGTGAAACTTGGGATTAAAAAGTTTCTTCCTTTAATGGGTGCGAAAAAGTCTAAACCGAATACGGCATCGACCTTTATACCAAAAGTTTTCAAATTTTATATTTTTTTTTATCAATTTCACTAAATAATAATTAAGTATAAAAAAAAAGAGGAAAAATTGTGGGGAAAAAATATTATTTAAGGGAATCAAAATTTATTAATAACAGGAAATAAAGCAATTTTCAAGAGCTGAAAATGTTTCCGCGGGGATATTTTATTGATTGAACCTCCTCTTCTCCCGGACTTACTCCCTCTTTTCATCCCCCCATTCATCTCTCTGTTTCACCTTTCGTTCTATCCAGCTAGCCCGCGAGACTCGCGCGTTCCAGAGCAAAAGATACATTCAAGAAGCAATAGACGCATGTCCATCAGATGAAAATATTTTACATTTTAATGAACAATTTCAAATAAAAATATTTTTTACAATCATATAAAATTCGAAAATTTGATATTGTTAAATTAAATTTTAATATTACTTTAATTTACACTTTCTTTTAAATTTTTACTCATAATTCTCTTTTTTTTTGTTATCTTTATCCCTTTTTGTAAATTCTTTTTTGTAAATTAATATCAACAAATTGATTTCTTATAAAAATTAATTTTTATCATGTAAAAAATTTAATTCTAATATTTTTTTTTTTTTTAAAAGGGATATTTTCTCTCATTCTTCTTAAATTCAAAGTACAACACGATTTGAGAAGATTTGGCACGAGAACCATTTCGTTACTTTAAGTTGTGCTCGACCGACTTGGAAAACTTTTCAAAGTTGGGATTTCTTCTCCCGTTTAGTCCAATAACTATTTTACATATATATACAGAAAAAGAATTTTGTTCTAGTAGATGAAAAATTCACAATTATTCCAAATGAATGTAAAATATTTTTTAAAAAAAGTTAAATTTTCTTTTTCTTAGAAATAAATAAAAAAAAAGTAGTAATTCTTTTTTTTTCGGAAAAAAAATTATTAATTCGAAGGAATTAGTGAAAATATAAATTTCAAGTACTTCATGGTATCTCCAAGTTTAACTTTAAAACTTTTTATATTTCTGTTGCATAATTAAATTTTCCACACCAAAAAATATTTCTTTCCTGAGTAAACAATTTTTTTTTTTTAATTGTAATAAAAATAAATATAAAGTAACATATATTAGTGTTTTTACTCCCGGAAATGAAAAGTAGTCGCCCCTCTGTAATCTGCGATGCATAAAGGAAGTGAATAGAGGGATAAGTGCACGAGAACCTAAGAGCATTATGAAATATTACTTATGCAATTCTCATTATAAAAGTGAATATTATTATAAAATTTACTTGACAAATTTTATAATTTAAATGAATATTTCGAAATATTTACTCTTCATTTCCAAAAATACAAAAAAAAAAAAATTTATCCCTTTCACAATTTATGAAATTGTTTCAAAGAAATAAAAGATTTAAATTTAACTTAATTTTTAATTTTAATATAAAATTAAAAATTAAAATTAGCGCAAGCGTAAAAACAATTTTCCCGTTGGCGCGAATTTTAAAAGTCTCCTTTTTTTTCGACAAACTTTAAACTTCGGCAACTTTCGGAAATGCTTTAATGTTGAGGAACGAACTCGGGAATGTATAAAGATCAATAAGAACCGTCCTGCCTCTCTCGCATGCGATTTAATGGTTTTGGTCCTCGGAACCAAAACTATCTGAATCCTATATATCCAAGCATTATAGTCTGCATCTACCATGTAACTTCATCCCCCAAAATTTGGAAACTGAAAATCTAAAGTAAAACTTTTATATCAAGAATCGATTCTCTCACCACGCAAAGTTTTGAGAACGGCAATAAATGTTCAAATAATTTTTAAGTATACAAATTTTTTCAATTATTATCAAAATATTTCTATATTGAAAAATTATCTATTTTTAATAATTATATGAATTCTTTATTTTTTTTATTAATATTTATTATAAATAAATTATTATTTATAATTATAAATTATTTATAATTTTAATTAAAATTAATTATTTACTCTAAAGATGGGAAATAATTTTGAAAATCTACACCAAAGAGAAATTAGAACACAAAGTTTCTTCGCAATTAATTTAAATGCAATTAAGTAAGTTGCCCATTGAGCTGAAAACATCAATACTATTTTTATTTACTTTACTTTTGACTCTATAATCATTCTTCGATTCTTTTGACGCAAACTCGTGATCTTTAAAATTAAAAAAAAAAAAAAGAAAATTCCTGTAACAGTATTTAAATAGACCAATTATTTAACGATTCATAATTATTCGTTGAAAATAATCACCCTATACGAAATTTTTTTTCATTGTCATTAAATAATTAGATTTTCTAACCTTAATTAAAAATATTAATTTATTAATTTAATTAAAAAAAAATCTTTTTTTTGTAAATTCCGGTAATAGAAAATAAAATTTAATTTCAATATAAAATTAGAAATTGACATAATTTAAATCAAATTAATAAAATAAAATACAATTTTATTATTGTTCCTCTAAAATAGAATAAAATAAATCTTTTGTGTCACGGCCAGAGTAATTAACTTTATTGATTATCTGACTTTTGAAATTAGGAAATTATTCCTCAGAACTGAATTTGAAAATAATTTAAACTAAATCACATTAAATAATGTAAAACAAATTAATTATTAAAACAAAAAATTGGAAATTTTTTTTAATTATATTAATAAATGAGAGATATTTTATTACTGCGGTGCGCAACAAGTTAGGTATATATATATATATATAAATACGGGAGAAATAAAAAGTAAAACAATCATTTGTAAATTGACGCAGCCTCACAAAGCTATGAGAATTCAAGTTTTCCAAGTTGAGAATCACTGTGCCGCAGTCCAACTAAACTTGTTGGGTATCGATGTTATTCAGAACTTTTCGAATAATGGAGCTTCCTTTTCCAGAGTTGGGATTTGTGTTATATACACCCGGCCAAATGAAAAAATAGAAAACTCGAGTTAATTTCTTTGCGCAAAAAAAAAACTTGTAACTCAAAATTTATCTCCATCATAGAAAACAAAAATTGCACTTTTTAAATAAAACCAAAAAAATCCATATTTAATTAGACAAAAATTAAAAATTATTTTACAAATATAAAATAATTTTCTAAAAGAAATATCTAACCATCAGAATAAAATAAAAAGAAAAATTTGAATTTCCAAATTGAAAACTATTAAAAAAAAGGGGGGAAAAAAAAATGGGAATTTCTCTTTCTCTCTCGGAAAGTTTGTCTCGATCAATGTCTTGCGACAAGCGTCATGCTGCAGGTAACGAGTTTATTAAATGCGACAAAGTTTTTTTTTTGTAAGAAAAAAAAAAATAAGACTCACGAGAGATAAAAAATCGAAAAATTAAAATAGGGAAATTTTTATGAATTTATTTTGCCATAAAAGAAAAAAGAATGCATCGTTATTTATTTATAACAATATAGATGCTGAGCAATATATAGAGACGGATCTAAATTTTAAAGTCGGCATCAATGTTTTCTGAATTATCCAGGTATAATGCAACGCGTGCTTGACCTTGTTACTTTTATAATAATGGTACGCGAAGACTCCGGAATTGAATTAAATAACAAATGCGCCATTATCTTTCTCTTTCTATCTATCAGCATGCAAAACTAAAATCCATATTATAATTAAATTCTATATCACGTTTCGTTATTAAACAAAGTTCAGAACAACTTTCATGTTCATTTTTAGAGAAATAAATCTAAAAATAATATCGAGAGAGAAGCGACTTCGATTCTTTTGATATAAACACAACTTTTCCGTATATTTCAAAGAATATTTTCTTTATCATTTTTTTCTTTTCTCTCTCTCTCTCTCTCTGAATTTTTTTTATTTGCCCCATCTAAGAAAACAGATTTTAAAAATTTTTTTATTCACTTGCAAATAAATAACTCACCTGTCGCCTTCCCAGGGAAACAATATAAATTTGAATCTGCTGAATTTGATCCAAGACATTTGGGTTCTAAAACGAAAAGCAAATTGCAATTTTTTTTTTTAAATTCTTATAAAAATATAAAAAAATAAATGATATTTAAAAGTACTCACGTCTGGATCATCTTTCAGTTTTTCTACACAGATCTGCAAAAAAAAAAGAAATTAATGTTAAATTAAATTTTGAAATGTATATTATTTAAAATAAATTCATTCATCCTCAAATGACAGCGATAAATTTTTATTATATACTAATTGAAAAACTGTTATACACTTTTATTATACAATGATATAACGATATTCACCAGTAAAGTTCTTAAACAGATTACGAGTTTCAGGTTGAAAGTGGTTCACAATGTCATCATGCTCACAGTCACGTAACCTTCTTAACTTTTGAACAATATATCCCAAATTAAATTTGATAAACTTATTCGATTTTGCATTCGAGTATTTAATTTTTTCGAAAAAAAGTAATTTTCCATAAAAAAAAAAAAAATGTTCTGAAAAAAAAGAAAACATTTTTCAAATAAAAATAATATTTTTTACCTTTTTTTTCAAACCCGATAGTTTTGTATCAGAAAAGATAAAAAAAAAAAGGAATTAACTATGTTTTTAGGTTGATAAAAATTTCTTTATAACATACGTCATAGTTTATTGATTATTTGATGAATATATTAGAAACAATTATTTTTAAAAAAAAACGAAAAAAATTATTTTAAAAATTCATTTTTGCAAAAAACGTAATATTTTTAAATAAACGCTTATTATACGAAATATGAAAAAAATATTCATAAATAAAAAAAAAAACGTTGCAAATTTTAATTCAAATAATTGAGACTGAAGTTCACTATAAGAAAAGTTACGCGGTCAATTTAATAAAAAATTATTTACTATTAATGAGCAAACTTTGTTCTATTAACTTTTTTTTACGATACTCCCACTTCCCATAAAAAAAAATATTTTAATATTTTAAATTTTCGTTACAAATTGAAAGATTTTGTTTCACAATTATATAATTTTAATTAATTAATAATTATATTTAAAAAAAAAAATAGTGGATTGTACTTTTAGTGAAAATAAAGTTTAATCGTGGAAAAGTTTCTACTTAATGAACATTAATAATTGATTCGCGGGAACGGAAGCTTCCGTTATATCCTATAAAAATAAAATCTGACGACACTCCTGGATCCTGAGAGAACACAAACGAGAAGACCGCAGGTGATCTCCTAAATCGAACTTGCCTTGAAAAGTTTTCGACTATGTATCTATAGTCAACTAATACGCCAGGTATAAGCGCATAGACCCAATAACAAAAAGAACAAAATCAAAATTTTCTAAAGATTTAAAAAAAAATCAGCCAAATAAAAGTCTATATATAAAAAAAAACAAGACTCGCTTCTTTCCGCATCAACATAATTATCTCATTTATTCCGAATCTCTCGGAATTCGCTGATACTACCTCTGAATATAAAATAATTATTTTCATCTTTATTCTAACTCATTGAATTTAGTAACACTGACCGTTATTAAGTATCATCTTCCAACTTTTTATCAATTAAATTATAATTTAATCAACATTGTATTCATAAAAAAAAAAAAATTCGCCATCAGAAATAAAACAAGCTTCAATTATAAGTAACTTCATAACAATGCAACAAAACAAATATCAAGATCACACTTTCGTATTATCAAAATAAATTAAATCTACTTTTTTTTTTTCCTTATGAGCATATAAAATAGAAAATTGCATTTTATACAAAGAACACACACTCACCTGATGATCGCGTATAGCATTTTTCAGTTTATTTTGCACAGACAAAATCTCCTCCTGCAGGGACTTTGATATCTCCATAATTCGTTGAATTGTCGGAATATGTTCCCCGCGGAGTAGCTTCCTACTTACAGACACTTTCGACATGAAAATTGTAAAAAGTAAAGGAGCCGCGCGGCCCCGAAGAGACGTATCTCCACCGCATACAACGCGCGCACAAGCACAAACACGACTCACTAGATTTTATTCACAAACAACGTTTCTCAACATATATGACAATTTCAAACTAACACCAACTAACCTATAGGGGAAGGCCAACTTGTGAACCTTTATATACATGTATATATGTAGATTTGCCAAGTTGCCCAAAACTCCCCACCCCCAACACACACACACACACAATTTTCACAAACACCAAGATTCTAAAGAGTTTAATTTCTTTTGTTATATCAACATTGTTTTTTTTCTTTTTAAATTAAAACAATCCATTGTATCCGAATTCAGAAGCAATTTTAAAGATGGTTTACCATGTCCTTGCACAATTCATTATATGAAAACGCACACACATTAAAAAGATATATTTTCCTAGGCAGATTTTTTCCCATAATATAATAAGAGCGCGGCAAGGGTGTGTAAAATCGCGATCCTCACGATTCTAGTGACTATCTTTCTAACTATTATCGATATTCATACATTCTTTTTTCAGAAGTTTAAATAATAAAACTCAATTGCAAAAACATTACGTTACAATTCAAGTTATACATTTTTCCATTTATTATAACGTATTACTTGTTTTTTTTGTAACTTTTATTCGCAGAACTTGACAACACAAACTTTTTTTCTTTCTAACCTCAAATATTTTGAAAGATCGATATCAAAATTGAAATCGAACATATCGAATGACTATCGAAAATTACGCGGGGAATTTTGAATTTCGACAATTGTTATGTACTATTTGAATTAGTTTTACAAATGAAATCTTTAATTATAAAAATAAAACATTGACAATTTTTGAAAATAATGTTTTTATAAAAATAAATTTAATTTATATTGTAAAAGAAACAAATATATTACTATGAGGGGGTGATTTTATTCTACTGACGCATGCGCATTAACTTGATTCTAAACAAAATCCTGGATAGTCGGCCGCGCGCCTGGTGTGTATTTTGTGATTTTTTTTTAATTTAAATACATATGTTTAATAATTATTACGAATTTTCTGCATAATCTTTATTTATTGAATACTAAATTCTATCTATATGTCTGTATTTAAAGTCAAACTAGCAGAAGTATATACAGAACTTTCAATCAGGTTTGAGTATAGTTTTTGATGGTTACTTTTTAAAACATTTATTTTAATGAAAAATCTCTATTATTGATAATATAAACATTATTAAATATTTCAAAATTCATGTATGTAAATTTCTAATTTTTTTTTTTTGAAATTTATTTGGAAATTGATAACAATTATAACAAGAAAAATGTTTTCCTACGATACATAACCTCAAAATTTGTAAAAGTCAGATTTTTAATATTTCAACAGTTCTTTTTAAATATATTAAAAATAATTATAAATTGTTTATCATATTTCAGATAGATTTATGATTAAACAATGGCATCTAAACGCACAGCAACTAGTGATTTAAATCACGAAAATTGGAATAAAGAGGAGAAAAAAGAAGACGCGGGAACTTTTGTCAAGGCATCGGAAGAAGTCCTTGAAAAGAGGGTCATAAAAACTGCAAAACGAAGAATTGCAAACACCGGTGATGTAAGTTATTTACAAATTTTTATTTTGTATAAATTTTGAAATAGGCGGAGCTTTCCAATAGTCTAATAAATGTTTACATTATTGATTTAAAAAAAAAAAAAAAAATTGATACAATTTAATGAGTTGTTTATTTTGATTCAGGGTGAGGCAAAAAGTGCATTTGGTTCGTTCGCAGGATTCAAAACATCAAATACAACAGCGGCAACACCGTCGCCATTTAGTTTTTTAGCTAATATAAAACCGACAACAAGCACAAATGTCCCGACAAATATTAATCCAAGTACGACAAAAACTTCCACCACAAGTAATGGTACTGAAAATGGACTAGGCGCTACGGCAAAATTGCCTTTTAAGCAAACTATCCCATTAAAAAGTGATGACAATAAGGACAAAAAAATGAGCGTTACAACGGACGAAAAATCTTCAGAATATTATGCAAAATTAAAAGGTTTAAATGAAAGTGTAACACAATGGATTAAAAAACATGTTGATACTAATCCATTTTGTATTCTTACTCCAATATTTTGTGATTATGAAAAACATTTAAAGGCAATTGAATTAAAACACGGTCAAGAAACAAATAAAGAATCAAATCCCGATGAAATTATTGTTGTGGAAAAAAAATCACCAATATCATTGGACAATATTCAAGAAACATCAACAAATCAGGAGAAGAAAATTGAAAATTCCATATTTGGCAATACAAGTGCAACGACATTGAGCGCTTGGAAACCAGAAAAATCGATATTTGGCAGTACAAGTAATAAAAAACTTATTTTCTCAACAGAGCCAAAAGTTGAAAATAAATCATCATTATTATCTGCTAGTCAACCTTCGTCACTTTTTTCAAAACCATCTACAACTGAAGAAAAAGAAGAGGACAAACCAGCGGAAACGAAACCCACTACAGTTTTTCCATCAGCCACATTTAGTTTTGGTCAAAGTTCATCGACACCGTCAAGCGCTGGATTCAGTTTTGGAGGGTGAGAATAATAATTTAATTACTTATTTTTTATCGATTATAACAAAAAAAATTAATTTCTAGGAGCAAACCTTTCACGTTTGGAGCACAAGTTGCAAAACCAGAGGACACAAATGAAAAAACTGAGGAAAAAGAAGAGGACGATGAACCACCGAAACCAGAATTCAAAGCAGCCACTGAGGAAGGATCAATTTACGATCAAAGGTAAATATTATTTGATTAAATAAAAGTTTTGTAAATAACTTCAATGAAATAATTGAAATTTTTTAAAAATTCCTCCTTTCTTTTTAGATGTAAAGTTTTCGTGAAGAAAGATGGTAATTTTGGTGATCGAGGTGTGGGTACATTGTTTTTGAAACCAACACCAAATGATAAAATGCAATTAATTGTACGTGCTGGCAATTCATTGGGAAATATCCTGTTGAATACACTATTAAATGAGAGTATTCCATTGAAGCGTATGAATAAAAACAGCATAATGTTGGTATGCCTTCCAACGCCAGATTCAAATCCACCACCAACGCCAGTTTTATTGAGGGTGAAAACATCTGAAGACGCAGATGCTTTAATGGAAGCACTAGAGAAAAATAGAAAATAGAAATTTTTCTATTTCATATATATTGTGATGTTAATTCAAGAATCATAAATTAAATGCAAATCGATTGAAATGAAAAAAAAAAAACGAAAGAAAAAAAAAATATCCATCTTTTTTTCTCAATCAACAAAAATTCGACGAAATTTTTCATTATTCAGTAAATGAGAATTTTCATTTTTTTGCAAACTTTTTATCAAAAAATTTAATACTTGTGCCATTCATTTTTTATGATAAAAGAAAATTTTAAATTTGTAGAATGTAAAATGAATGTATTAGCTAAGTGTTGGAATTTGTTTTAATTTTCAAATAATTTTTCGTTTTTAATAAAATGTATTTTATTTGAAAATTAATAAAATCAGTTTCCAATTACTTGATAAAGGAGAATGAAGACAAAAAAAAAAAAAAAAACTCGTATCGCGATACAAAGATATTTGTAAAACAGAAAAATAATTCGTCTTTCGTTAGACTTAAATACTTCTTCGCAAATTAATAAGAAATAATTCGAGTTAAATCTTCTTTAGAAATATTGAATACATGCAATTTATAGGAAACAATTTGTATGCATTGTATTAACATTATAAAGGCATTTAATCTTTTAATTAGAAATATTTTTTTATAATAATTATGAAAATTGATATTATAATTATAATAATTATTTACAACGTAAACATTTTTTTTCCATTAATTTCAAAAAAAAGATTGTAAATATTTATGTTCATTTAAAAAAAAGAAAAACTCCTTATTTTTGTAAATCTTTTAAAATTAATTTTTCGAGATTGTTTTTTCTTTCTACTAGCTGAGAAAGACAGGAAAAAAAAAATTTTAGACTTAGGAAATATTTTACATGCATCGTCAAATTGATTCTTGCGTTGTTATTTAGTACCTGCGTCTTATTATTATTTTTTTTTGTCATACCTAGGATATTATTCATTTACAAAAAAAAAATAGTTGATTTTTATGTTCGTGGAAATTGATTTTGTTTTTCCACTTTTCAGTTAATTAAGCATACGCAATTTGTAAATAAGGCATCTTTAAATAAATCTGCAATTAAAGTAAATTGATTTAATTTATTACTATAACAATACTAATAATGTTAGTTTGACAACTTTTGTATTAATTAAAAGTTATAAATAATTACTTTGAAAAAATATTCTACTGCAATATTCGAGAATTTAGTACTGACAATATTCACAGCATTTTCATGATTATACACGAAATTTTTTTCTTTATTAATATATAAATTTTTACAAAGCATTGCGTTTTCATTATATAATATTCAATTTTTTTTTTAAAACGATAATTTTTCCCCTAACTGTACATATTGTCAGATGACTATTTCTTCTTTTTTTTTTTTTTTAATTCAAATTTGAGGAACTTTTCTATTTTTTTTTTCTGCGAACATTTATAATTTAATCTTCAAATATGTAATATAAAATTCATAATTTTCTTTTTATAAAATAAAAAAAATCTGTAATTTTTTCCGTTTTCATGCTTGCAGAAAAAATGTATAAATAGTTCATCATTTTTATAATTATGAAATACATAAAAATATTTTTTTTTTTTCGTTTTTTGTTAAATTCTCATTCACTGTTAATATATAGAAATCTTTGAAAATTAACCATTTTTGGAATGTTACATAAATCTTGAAAACATATTTAATCTTGAACACGATTTATATTATTCGAGTCATGTAAACATTTCCTCAAATGTTTTTTTTTATATATATATACAAAACATAATATACTTTTTTTTTTTTAAACGATTCTATTATTATATAGAAATTTGACGAAATATATGTATCTTTACACACAAATATTTTGTATTAAATACTAAAAAAAAAAAAAGACCTTTCTTCAAGGTCACATTTACATGTCTCGATACCTTTTTCAAAAAGTATCAATAGAAAAAAAAAAATGATAAAAAAAAAATTCACTCATTTTTTATATTCAATCTGAAATTGTATAAATTTACCTCGAAAAAAATCTGAACTATATTTCAATATATAAATTGTTTTACCGATTGGATTATTAATTTTTTTAATAGTTCAGAATCTTGTACTCGAAGAAGATGAACTCCGGGATTAGTGCTAAATTGTTTGCGAGATGAATGGCGTCAATGTGCCTAATTGACCCAAACCTAATTGTATATGTTGCATATGAACTTCAACACAATTTTGAAATACTTGCTGATTTTGTGGACTTAATTTCGTTTTAACTTGCTCCATGGTGCCTTGAAGCACTTGTAATTCATAGGCATTTTTATCAGAATCCGATAGACACTAAAAAAAATGAATCGTTATTTCAAAAAATATTTAATTTTTTTTTTAAACAGAATTTTTGTAAAAAAAAAAAATTAATAAAGCTAAATATCCTACCTTAACCTGAAGTATCAATGCTGTTAAATCAGTAACAAGTTGGCTCATATTATTTGGTTCTTTATCATTGAGCATATTATTTTTTGCCACCATTTCAGCAGCTTCTTGTTTACATTTTTCTCTAAGATGCGATGGTGCCAACATAGCAGCGACACTTGGTTCCGGTGCAATAGCCACACACATTTCCTGTACTTCATTTAAAAACTCTTGAAGAGCTAAATTCATTCTTTCCAATTCCACCACAATTCTAAAAAATATATTTCAAATTATGTTTCTTTTAAAATAAATTTAAAAAATAAAAAAAATAAAAATATTATTTACCCAGCATATTTTCTTTCAAAATCAGCAGGCAATGGTTCACCGAGTGATCTTCTCATTTCAACGTCTGTATTCATTTCCTTTAATTTTCGTACCTTCATTTTTTTATCAACGAGTATTTTATTGACTCTCACCATACTTTCAAGTAATTTCACCGGATATCCATTCATTGTCCCTCCCATGTGTGATTTTTTCGGTATCAAAGCATTCGATATTAATGGATCATGATTTAATCGAGGTGAATTTAATTTTGACATGTAAGCAGGCGAAGGCACATATTGAACATGTCGAGGTCTAAATTTATGTGTAAATGATGCCACGCTTATTGTTTCCGGCTCTTCGTTAGCCTAAAATAAATTAATTTTTAAAGGCAATTCTTTTTTTTTTTTTTTTTTGAAATTGTTTTCTATAATTATTTAAAATAAATAAAACTCACCAAAACTTCATAATCGGGTACACTGTGTGTACCAAGTCCAGCTCGTTCGAATGTAATTCTATAAGTATTATTACTTGTATCGACTGCGTCAATACTGCCAGTAAATAATCCATCTTGTGGTTTACGTAGTCGGGCAGTTACTTTTGTTCCAATTACAAGTTGCATGGGAACTTCAGGTGGTAAATCTTTAAATACATGAATATCCGTACATTTTCTTTGTTGAAGCATACGAATTTTTTGTCGTTTTCTTTCAAGTTCACGTCTTTCTTCCTCGAAAAATGATTGTGAACAACGTCTTGGCTTTCCCATCATACGACGAATTTTACACCATTCAACTCGTGTTAATTTACGTGTTTTCAATTGTGGAAATGATTCTTTAAGGCAAATCATAAAATCATTATCGCCATCAAAAAGTGTTCTGAAATTAAAGAAAAATTAAATGTTCGGTTTTTTTTTTTAAATTGTTTTAAATTTTTCTAAATTTTTTTTTTCTTGCTTACTTATCAATGTTGCTGTAGAACCACTCGTAACAAACCCATTTATGAGCTTTTGGTAATTTCAATAAATTTCTTAGTCTCATTCCAATTTTTTGACCAATTCGTCTATCTGGCGACGATGGTTGCATCGATTTATCAATATCTTTTTCCACTTTCATCGGCGTTTGATAAGAAGGTTCTTTCACTATGTTGACAATTTTTTTAGTGTCACTCAATCGTAATTGTTTTTTAGCTGGCGATGGACGTGGTAATTTCTTCGGTGATGGTTTCACATCAATAGTTCCTGGTTCTTTCTTTATCCTATAACAATATGTTCTGAATTTTTTTTTTTTTTTTCTTTCTTAAATCTTTAAATATAATGTACTTACCTATGATGAGGATGATTCACCAAAATATCATCGTAAAAGAGTTTATTCTTTTTTCTTATTCTCGCTGGCATACCACGACGATTTAAAACTTGAATTGGCTGTGTTGGTGGTTTAGGTTTACGTGGAGGTTGTGAACCAACTCGTTGTAAACCCAATGCAGCTGGACCAAATTCAGTCATTGGTTCATTGTCATCTGTTTCCATGCTTGAATCCAAAGAATTTGCCGATATTTGATGTTCTTCTATTTCCATAAGGTCATCGGCAACCTCTGTTTTAATTTGATCGACTGTGGGATAACCTCCATTCTTAATGGAGAGTAAAGTCTCGGCTGATTCATCTATAAACACATTTTACATCAATCAATTTTATAGAATAAAAATAATCTTTTGAAAAATTACAAATTAACAAAATGTGAGTTTAAAAATAATTCAGTTATTAAAAAAAAAAAAAAAACTATCCTTCTTTTGTCAACAGTTAACTTTTACAAATTTTCAATAGTATAAAATAAATTGAAAAATACATACAATCCATTTTTGATTGATAATGATTAATTGTTCAAATGCCAATATCAATAAATTACAAATAATTAGGTAAGAATTCATTTACGACCCTCGACACATTCCGAATTGTACTGGAATGTTAGAGCAAAACATAACCAAACTTTTTTTTTGACGTAATTCTGGAAAAAGCTTCACATACTTTTTTGTGTTTACACATTAATATCATGGTTAAATACAAATTCTAATAAACTTATATCAATGACAAATATTAATTCAATAAAATTATAACTTGAAAAACTTAATTAATTGTATTAAAATGCTTCTTGTCCCGCTTGAATTCTACATTGTTCATTTTTGAAATTTTAAACCCCAGCCATACAAGGCAAATTCAAATTGCAACTGTGAACTTAATTGAACACGAAAAACTTTTATGAAATAAACTGCAAATTTCTGACAAAGTCCTATTTCTAAAACATGTTGAAATTTACACTTTTTTTCAATTTTTTATCAGTTAATCGTTTCGTAAATTATAAGAATCTCACTTACTTTCAATCGTGTCCGCCATGTTGAAATTGACTGGTGCATGCTGGGAATTGACAAAACGCCTAGCGTGCGTCCCGCTTGAAACTACGAATATTGTCATTTCCGGTAATAAAAGCATTTTTTAATGCATTATTATACCTGAAAATAATGTATAAAGAATAAAATAAAATTTATTATTATTCAACAAAAATTAATTAAATATTTTCTAAAGTTTTGCAACTGTAATTTTGTTTCTATTTAATTTATATAAATTTTTATTATATCCTCGTCGTTGTGGTCACTTCCGGGAGGGAATTTTCAAATATAGAAACTAATATGATTAATTTTAAATACTTTTTACAAGCAAAATATTTTAAATAATTTTATTATTATAGATAAATAAATATCAAAAATAAATATATAATTTATTAATTTAGGAAAAATTGGATAATATTATTATGGTTCATAACAATTTTCTTAGTGAAAATTAAAAATACAATTTCTGTGGATATTAATGAAGAAATTAAAGAATATTGTAGAGAAAGGGATAGATTAATAACTTCCGAAGATGCTGATGATTATTTATTAATTGACAGTGAATTAAATACAACAATTAAACTTGATTGTCATTTTTGGTTTAAATTTAATTTAAAATATATTATTTTTTTAAATAAAAAAATACAAAATTTATATTTAATAATTTTTTTTTTTTTTATTTAAAGCAAAGAAAAATTTAATCAACAACCAAAAATTTGGTTTTGGCAAAATCGATATCTTTCATTTGATGAAAAAGAAGTCGATATAGGAATGGATAATAATATGTCATTAAATAGAATTCACGTCACTCCACAATTAAATTTAATAATTAAAAATTTTAATTATAACGATTCTGGAATTTATCGTTGTCATGGTAAACAAGGCGAAGAAATAGACGAAAAATTTAATTATAAATTAGAAGGTAATTAACAAAAAAAAATTAAATTAAATAATTATATTGATAAAATAATAATAAAAAATAATTATTGAAAGCGGTTTATGAAGATATATCAACTGAAAGTTTGCCAAGAGGAAATTTATCAGATTGGCAAAAATATCAAGAAACTTATTTGATTCCAATTACAATACGTTTTACAGTTAGTAATTTTTTTTTTTTTTTCAATAAAAATTATTTTTAATTTTACAAATTTTTTGAAATTTGAAAATATAATTTAGGTTTCAAAAATGAAAGAAATATCCTTAATAAGAAAAGCAGGTATTACATTAGAATTAATATCAGAATGGGGACCTTGGAGTCCTTGTGAGAATTGTAAATTTGGAATAGGATATAAAATTAGCAAAGGCTTTTGTAGAATAAAATCAACAATTAATAAAGTAAGGGAAAATAAATTTTTATAAAATTCAATTTTTTAAAAAAAGAAATTAATTATTTTTAATTAAAAATTAATTTATTTTATAGACCATTGAAAAGGATTCAAATGAAAGTTTAATTTTATTTTTTCGATCATCTCCATTATTGCCTTGCAGGTAAAGATAAATTTTTTTTTTAGTGAAATTATAATTAATTAAAAAAAAAAAAAAAAAAACTTTCAGATCAATTGCATTAAATAATTATCCAGGTATTAGTAGTGCAACGAGATATTTACCTGAATTTATTTTAGAGAAAAAATGTAAGAAATGTAAAAAAATTAAACGAATTAAATTTCATAAATTTAAATACAAGAAAAAATATGTTTTGACGGAAGGAGCTCATTTATCAATATCCTGTCCTGAGTATATAATTAACAATTTAATTAATTTATAATTTTTTAAATTATAATTTAAAATAACAATTATAGTAAATTAAAAAAAAAATTTTTTTAATTATATTATATAATTATTATAATTTATTTATTATAAATATTGCATTAGATCAACATTAGAATCGCAAGTAATTTGGAGAAAAGATGCTTTTCTTTTAGATAAAGGAAAAGGACATTCTTTTCGCAAAAAGGATCCAGAACCACGAGTTTTTATTGATACTTTCTCTACCCTTTATCTCAAAGGCAATTAATAATAATTATTATTTAAATAAAAGTTATAAATTAAAAAATTAAAATACAAAACATAATAAATAAATTATAATAATTTTATTATATTTTATTAAATAGATGTTTCACAAGAGGAAGAAGGAAATTATACTTGTTATGTTAATAATATCAAAATGATGCAATTAAAAATTATTGTCGCACTTACTTCAAATCTTTTAACTCAGGGTAATTTAAAAAATTTAATTTAAAAAATTAAAAATCTAAAATTAAAAAAATTTAATTTAAAAAAAATTCATTCAAATTAAATTGAGAGAAATAAAATTAATTAGAGAATCATTAATTATTTATTAATAATTATAAATTATTTACTATAATTATCAAAAAATGTGGAACGCTTCACGATTTTGCGTGTCATCCTTGCGCAGGGGCCATGCTAATCTTCTCTGTATCGTTCCAATTTTAGTATATGTACTGCCGAAGCAAGTACAAAAAAGTAGGACAAACATTTTCCTTATATACTAATCGTACAATTGACATTACAACTTGTGAGAGAAATTTTCCATTAAAAAAAAACACGTAGCCATCTACCAATTTTTTCTTGAACTATTAAAAAAAGCGCCATCTATGAAATATATTGAGAAACTTTTCTATACTCGATCGATAAAAACAAATAGGAGGGAAATTTCAAAAATTATAATACAAAAATTTTCTTTTTAGTTTTTCTTCGTCATTTATTATATTTGGGATTTATTTTAATTCTCTCATCGTTCTGCTATTGTTCTGGATTAGTTGCCGTTTTTCGACGACGAGATAAATTTGAAATTCAAAATTACGAGGAAATTAAAGCTCGAATACAGGACAGAAAACCATTTTTTGAGGAGGAAATTGAATAATTCTTTTTTTATATTTAAAAAGTTTTTTTTTAAAAAAAGTAAGTTACTAACTGTAACATTTGAAATTATTAAATTTTTTTTTAATTAATTAAATTAGTAATAAGTATAATACTATTATTAGTAATATTATTAATTATTAATTATTAATATTATTAGTATTAATAATTAATAATAATTAATAATAATTAATAATAATATTATTATCTAATGTCGCGTGTCATCTTTGATTTAATCCAAGAGTGTAATCCTGATTAAGCAAAGGCCTTCTAAGGTTCTTGACACTCTCCTTACAACAAAATGTTGAAGTCGCAGGAGAAGTGAAAGGGGCACAACATTTTATAGTCTGTCCGATTCTTTTCAGTTTTTCCAGCATCGCATACCAAAATGGCTGTGCTTTAATCAACTATCGATTAAATATTGTGTTGTTTTCCATTTTCCCACCTCTCTCTCTCTCAAAAAAAAAAGAAAAAAAAACAATGAATTCGACAAACTTCTTTCTTATTTTCTCCCTTCTTCTTGTAATTCAAATTCCACTTCATGTCAACGGTATGTACATCAAGTTTACTTTCTCCCTATATCATGTGGAATGCTTATAAAATTTCTATTATATTATATAAAACCTATATAATTATTATTAAAGGTCCCAAGTAACTATAAAATAAAGATTTAATAAATAATCATTTACAAAGTGAAATAAAAGAAATTATTATTTTAAAAAAGTATTTCAAATCCGAAATATAATTTTTAAAAAATAGTCACTTTTTTATGAAGAAAAATTATTTAAATATAAACTTTGTGAATTAAAAAAAATTCCAAATACACTATAAAAATTATTAATTACAATTTCAAATATTGTTAAATTACGTTGTTAATGATGTTTAGTTTGAAAGAAATTTAACATTGTTAAATTACTTTTAATTATTATAAAAATTATTTCGCTTTGACAATAAATTATTAATTTTTTTTTTTTTATCAATTTTATTAAATTAATAAAATTTTATCAAACATAGGTTTTCTGCGAAGATGTTTCGTGTGTAGATCGAGAGGAGAGTTGGGAACTTGCAAAGATGAATTTACATTTAATGTTACACAAATTGAGAATGTAAAAGGAGTTAAAGCAGATCCATGTGCATCAGGCTGGTGTGCAAAAATTATTCAGGGACGAAGTATCAATAGTGGTATGTAATTGATCAAAATAATACAATTTCTCTTGGCTAATCATATAAACTGAAAATAAATCTTGAACATGATTAATTAATTATTGAAAAAAAGAAGATTTTTTCTAAATTAAAAAAATTCTCCATTTCAATAATTTAAAAATTAAAATTTCCATTTTACATTCTTCGTTTTCAAATTTTAATAAATCAAAAAAAATTTCCTTCTCGATATTTGATAAATTATTATCAGAAAATAATTTCTCAATATTTTTTTTAATAGTAATAATTACTAAAGAATGCAGTTTTTAAAGGGGGTCATCAATGTGCGATTATCAAAGCACTTTATACAGTGTATATATCATGATCATCATTCGCATCATGTCCTCAATGATTCATCTGTATAATGTAACGCTCTGAATGAACAGTGTTTATTATAAAGTCTCATGTTCCGATTTAGATCTATTATTATTATAACTATATACAATTAATTATTTTCAACTTTCAATTTAAAAATTTAATCGATAAATTTTTAAATTTAAATTTGTTTTAATTTATATTGAAACTAAATTTTTTTTTTGAATAAATATCTTTTTTTTCAGAACATGATGAAGCTACAGAAAGAACATGTCTTCAAAGAGGTCCAGATGATGGAGAAGAAAGATGTGCATATACAACAATGGATTATAAAAAAGTTTTCATTTGCTTTTGCAAAGGTGATTTGTGTAATAGTGCGAGTCACACAGTTCCAAGTATATTAAGTCTTATCACAATAATAACAATTATAAAATTATTTTTGTGAAAAATCAAAATTTTTTTTAAATGAAGGACCCTCTTTGTTTTTACACAAAGTTAGTTAATATAAATTTTATAAATGTGTAAAAAAAAAAAATTTGAACAAGTGCAATGTTGTCACACAACTGTGAATGATTGACGTTTGATTGTTACCATATAAATAATAACTGTAAGAATTTGAATGACAAATTTTAGTAAATTAAGATTCTTTAAAATCATATTTATATTAATATCGATATTAAAAAAAAAATTTTTTTTTAATTATTCAGTCAATAAGTCTTAAAATTTTGAAAAATTAAATTCTTCAAAAATTGAATTACTCAACACAGAATTGATTTAATTAATACAAAATGACTTCATGTATTTATTAAATTAATTTAGTATTAAGTCAATATCTTTATAGAAATTAGTTTAAGATTGTATCGTATAGGAATAGTTAAAATTTATTTTTAACAATTGTGATAAACATTTGCTTATGTTAAAGATTCAAAAAAAAGAGTCTTAGTAAATATTTTTTTTAACATTTAATGTTTAACATTTTATGAACAATTACATCACATTTTTTAAAAATTAAATTTGATATCAATATTTCTTACAATTCGAATGATTTTTTTTTTAAAATTATATTCAATTTCTATTTTGTCAAATAAAAATCAACCAATGGCATTAATAATAATCAGTATTATTATTTTTAACATGAAAAATTTTACAACCAAAAACAAAATTAAATTCAGAAAAAATTTGTCTTCATAAAATGTAAAATTCTTCTTTACCTACTTATCACACACTTTATATACAGAAAGATATTATCTTGTGTTCATCATTGAATGTAACGATAAATACAAAACAAATCTACATTTCCAACAGTTGATTATTTATTCAGTTCTTATTTCTTTGGGAAACGAAAAAATTTTCGTTCATCACAGTAATTATTATTAACAAACATGTAAATCATACATGTTAATAAATTTCGTTTTTTTTTTCTTTTAATTGTACATCACTTTCTTTAAATGCGTTAAAAGAAATCAATACAATTAAAAGCAGTCAAAAGGGGCATTAAAAAAGAAAACTAAAAAAAAAATAAAATAATTTTTAAGTAGACCTTTGTTCAATACCTTGTTGCGTAGATTGTTCCGTATTAATTTTTTCTTGTTGTTTAATCGATCGTTTTTTCTTTTCTGTAACTTTTTTGTGCTTTATACTTTTCAAGTGCATATTCCATTGTAATTCGCCGACAAAAAGCCTTTCGCAAATCTGTAACAATTTAAAAAATTAATATATGTTTTTTTTTTTTTTTACTTTCAATTATTTTTATTATTGAAAACTCACTTCGCAAAAGTGAGGCATATCATTAAGAATATCCGTTGATTTTTGTTCTTCAATATTTTCATTCATTGATTTTTGTTTTGGTTGCTCGCCCCGAATTAATGAGGTGACAATTTCTATCGCTGGATTTAAAACGTCATTTGTCCATTTTTCCATATTGGTACAATTCAATGAATATATTGAAGGAACCTGTAAATTTTTTAATAAATAAAAATTCATTTTTCATAGCAAAAAATAATTTTTGTTTTTCCGATTTTTTTCCCCCTTTTTGTTTGAGAAAATTGTAAAAAAAAAATAAAATAAAATAAAGGTAACAAAAAGAAACAATAATATTAATGTATTATAAAAATCTATTTTATAAGATTCCAAGTCTTGAATCCAGGTAATTAATATAAGTTTAATTTAATTGACTAATTGCGTATAATTAAGATTAATTAATACTTGTCTATCTGTTCGACGAATCATTCTATTCATTATCCATTTCCTCTGCCTCCTGGCGTATCTCCTTGTGACTAATTTCAATTCCGCAATACTTTCTTGTAACATCTGCTGTCCCTAAAATTAAAAAGATATTAGAATCTAATCTAAAGTATATATTGAATGTAATCTCAAATATATATATATTATATATTAAAAATATCTATATAGTCTCGCGAACACAATAAAATCTCGTATTTTATAAAAAAGAACATTTTTTTTTACACACTTATAATTGTGAATGAAAATAATTCTATTTTAAAAATTCGATTAAATATAGAAATTTTAATAAATTTTAATTCAAATAGAAAAATTTTCATTTACAAGCAATGGACTTAAATTTTAGACAAAGGTAGGTCATAAAATTATTTCTTGACAGTTTAAAATGTCCTGAATGTTTATGGAATAGGGCCCCAAGGCACATATATAGAGTACAATTTTTTTTTTTTTTACAATATCAGTATATTGCAATCGTATAATTTACAAACGAGAATCAATATCTTCCAATACAATGTGACACTGACAAACTACACTCTGATGCCTAACCCACTTTTCTCTATATATATTCTATACGGTGCGTTACGGGTTAAGGCAAAGTTATAATATGTATACAATATAATATATATATATAAAAGCACATGTCTATATGCAACTATAATAGTCTTTAAATATGTATATACCTTCTGGCTGTTCCTTTCATCTTCGGGCAATATCAAGTAATTGTGAAACTCCTTAAAGCCGATACTTTGAAAGATTCCTCTTGTGTAATCTGGTGCTCTAAAACATTCAAAAAAAAAATTTTTTTCATTAGAATAATAAAATAATTGATAATTAATATTAATATTTAATATTTATTTAATATTTTCCTTAATATTTCGAAATTCATATAAAAACGATTTTTTTTTTTACCTAAATAGAAATTTCGTTTCCATAGAGATATTTTTTTTTAATTTTTTAAAATTTAAGCCGCGAAATTAAAAATTTCAAATCTATGTATATATTTAGATTATAAACCAGTATTGCAAAGTCTTGCTCAATATTACCTAATAGTTAAGAAAAAGAAAGATTATCACAAAATTAAATTCTTATCATTTAATTTATAAAATATTGATTTAGAATAGAAAAAAAAGTATTTTAGATTTTTTATAAAAATTTTTTTTTTATTATTAAAATTAGGAATATTTTTTTTAATTTCAAGGAAAATTGAAATCTCTATTATATATAGACTACGACAACTAGAAATTCCTTATGATAGTGAATGCAACAGTGTAAATAACATTTTTCAGAGAATTTGTGATAAAAGCGATAACGTTAATCATAGAAATAATCCTTTTTTATTTAGACGCTTTTTCAAGGAAAAAAAGTACATTTTCATGTATATTTAAAAAATTCCAATGGCACTTACGGAAAAAAAAATAACAAAAAAAAAAAATTACATATTTTTTTACAATTCTGAATTTTATATATTAGTTTTTTATTAAATAAAACTATTTAATTATTCGAATTTTAGTATTTTGAGAATTAAATAATAAAAACGTTTCTCATTAAATCATTGATATATAATATTGCGATGAAATTATATCAAATGTTATAATTAAAACAAAAATATTCAAGAAACAACCCCTATAGCTCTTGAAAAGAAATTAATTATTTTCTCTTTGTCCTCTATTCTAACGTGAATTGTTTGAATAAAACGAGAATAATTCTGTATATCTCAGACTTGAAGAAAATGATGATTATTTTAATATTTCCATGAATATGCAATTTGATTCAATTCATAGGATATTAATTAATTTTCCTAAAAAGAAAAATATACACGATTATTAAATTAAAAAATTATTGAAATATTTATCCCATTAGATTATAAAATTAATATTAATTAATCTTAATATTAATTTTTTTCAATCGCTATATTTATTTTTACAAAAAAAAAAGTAGATGATTCTAAACAAATCGCGTCATTGAATCGTAATCCACATTTCAATCTGGAATTCAAAGGTTTTATCGCTGCTTACAATGAAAAGTTTATAATTAAGTTTCTGATTGTACCTCGATAATAACATATATATATATATATTAATCAAAGGAAATTTTAATTCACTTCATCACCTGTTTAATTCATTTTTTTTAAAAATAATAATATATATTCCCAAAAATTAATTTATTTTTAATTTTCAATAATTTTAAACAAAACGATTCTAATGAAATGAAATTATTTTGAATCTTTAAATAAACAATGAGGATATTATTGTAAATGAAAAAAAAATTAAAACGTAAGGGATAATTTTTTTATCAAATCATATATAAATAATAATTATTAAATTCGACAAATATTATTTAATTTTATTATTATTATTATTATTTTGTTGATATATGGAAGAAGATTAATTTAAAATTTTATTATGACTCTAAGGCATATGAAAAGATTAATAAACTTAATTGAATGACTAACGACAATCTACATTATTATTTTATATTGCAATAATTCAATTCATTTTTCAGCTTATTAGTCAAATAGAGTTCAAGGGCAAAATATTTTTTTCAATCATGAAGAATTATCTACGTATTTTTTAATAATAACAATAATAATAATAAAAATAAAATAATAATAAATTTTTGGCTTTATCAAGAAAGTCGAAAATTTGTTAACATTAATTTAATAATAATAGTACAAAGAGTTGATTAAATACTTCATGGGGGACAAAATTGTCGCGGCAACATTAAAGATCTTCCACCTGAGTATCAAGTTATCTAAAAAAAAAGAAAAAAAAATATAAATATATATATAATACAGGGTGGTTAATTTTATTTTAAACCGGTTTTCCATCTTTGATTGGCTTAATTTATTAAGTGGACCAATTTCTGATACATTTCATAAAACTTTTTTACTTATCATTAATATATTTCTTGTTAAAAATTATTATTGCGAATAAAATTGATAATTAAAATAAAAAAAATATATATATATAAAATTTGTACGTTATTTAGAATAGATTTATTTATAATTTTAAAATTATTTCATTTAAAATAAAAAAATGTATGTGAGAAATATCGCGATTTTAATATATTATGCAAAAAAAAAAAAAAAAAAATGTTTAGTGTCAATCAACATTCAGATTACAGTAGTCTTGAGGATTTAATTTACCATAGGCATTTCAGTAAATTTTGCAAATATTCAAGTTAATTTAGCAGTGTCTCGTCATTAAAAAAGCGACCCACCGAGTTGGTCAAATAATTAAGCGCAACATTTAAATAAATATTCGGACAAATATTGAACTTCTTGATGGCGTCTTCTTCTTTTTTATTATTATTTTTTTTTATAAGAGGGGCAAAGGTACACGATAATCGTTATTATAATGTCAAGTAGTAACTTTAATATTCCTACGCACGACATCACATCCGGTTAAAAAGGCGAACGCTCTGACAGGTTGAGAGTTGTCGAACACCCGGGTGCATTTCCATAAAGCCATATGAAAAAAAAGAAAAAAAACCTTCACTCTCAGATTTGCAAATTTCGAATATATCTTCATTATATATATTTTTTTTTTACAAATTCGCAAATAATACACAAACCCCAATTGTCTTTTTCGAATAATTTTATATTATTTCTTTTTCTATTTTCTATTTAATTACTATTTGTTTTCTATTAGAAAATTATTATATAAACTCGTTATAAATTTATTAAATTAATATTCTTTAAAAAAATTTTTTTTTAATTATTAAAAATAATATTATTAATATAATAAACAAAAATTTTTTTTATTTCACTGCTCTACTATTCGAAAGTTGGAAAGAATAAAAAAAAAAAAAAAAAGATAAAAAAATGTCAATCAGACTAAAAATCAGAACATCACAGATGTCAAACTAAATCGGAAATCAGAGCTGTTCTTAAAAGTGGATACGTTTTGAAAGATAATGATTCGATTTAAGATATGTTATAGAGAGTTAAGATTTCAATCGATTCATAAAATAGTCGGTCAATCATTTCTTTTTTTTTTACGATAAGGCACGTGGAACTCTAAATACTAAGGTATTTAATCATTTTAGATAATAAATTTATGCGGGCAAATATTTAGGTATATATATATAGTCTAATCAAATTATTGCAGTGCAGTAAATTTTTTTTCATTCTTATTTCAAATTTTTTTTTTACAAATAATAATAATAAATATAATAATTGAAAATAGTTTCATTTAGTTTCAAAAATTGCAAAATAATTTGTAATTTAATAAGCAGATAATTATTTTAAAAAAAAATTTTTTTATAGCAATTCCCGTAGAGGAATTGGAAAAAAAATGAAAAAAAAAGAAAAAGACAACGAAATTGGCATATTTAACGATTATTTCAAGTTTTACTTATAGATAGGAAAATCTTTTCCGCATCTATAGGAACACGTTGTCTGTGGCATAAACTAATTTGCATACAGATTGCACCAAGTCGCGTGTCTCACCCTCCGAATGCTCGTAACAATATACGATAATTATTAGTGGTAATTATAGGTTTCCAAGACGTTTTATGGTCGGGACGAGATCATTCATTGATAATAATGATAGCGATGCAATTTTGTGAAGCTATTTTTAAGAAGAACAATTAATTATACAGTTTTTAAGGGCACAGCAATTCAAAATTTTATATGTACAGGAAATTTTTTTTTCCGAAAATTAAATTTATATTCAAAACTAAAAATTTTCAAATAAAAAATAAAGGTAAAAAACAATACGGAAAACCCCCCAAGGAGAATTTATTATTATTATCTAGATCAATATTTTATAATGCGGAAAATGATAAAAAAAAAATTCAATTTTTTTTTTGCAAATATTTTGTCTATATAAGATAAAAAAAAAACTGGATGAGATAAATTAAATGTCCAGACGCGCATTGAGATTGTAAGAGAAGATATTGAAGATCTTTAATCATTTTTTTTTTCTTTTTTATACTTTTCAACGGATCTTTAACAATGAAGTTCATGGAAAGGTTTTGTAAGCAGTAATATTACATCCTGGCCTTGCTGCACTTGAGTTATCCGATTCTCAAGGAATTCGATGAGTTGGGTATTTAAAACCACATTTAAGTAGCCGCAGTACCGTGAGAAGTAAATAAACCATGATATATCAAATACATTTAAAAAAAAAAACGCAATACAGAGGATTTTATTCAAATTTATAAAATTACCTCGACTTGAATAAAAAAAAAAAATAAATAATATTAAAATAAAAATTGATGGTTATAATTTTAATTTTCCGATTTTTTCAAATTGTAGTATAAAAAAATTTCTTGCATCCGAAAAATTTAAAAAAAAATTCATAAAAATGGTCATTTTTGGCAAATTTTCAAAAAGTTCACTGACTTTTAATTTCCTGACATTCCCTGGCTTTTCCCTGACTAAAAAATTTTCCTGACTTTTCCCTGACCGCTGGACATCCTGAAAATAGTATTTAATAATTAATTTTCAATTATATTGTCAGATTTTAATAAATAATTATATAAAACATAATTTGATGAAAAAAATGTCTAGATATTAAATTGAAAATTTGATAAAAATTTTGATAAATGAAAATTTTGCTAAATAATTCAGCTAAATAAAAATGTAATTAAAATAATTTTTTGGTTCTATCAAAATTGTGCTAAATGAACATTTCGGTGAAATAAAAATTCGGCTATATTTTATTATATTCACTATTATTATTATTATAAATTTTGTTCTGTTTTTTATATATATTTTTTCTTTTTATTAGATTTATTTATTTTTTTTTTTTAATTATAAAAATTAATTAATTATATAAAAATTTCTTTTTTTTGTATAGAAAAATCGTGATTTTTTTTTATAGTAAAAAAATAAATATACAAAGGTTCGTTAGGTGGTGAAATTTCATTCAGGTATATAAAAATACAGTGTCTACTGAGTATTTGCGAAAGGAGTCTAGGACTTCCATATATATATATATATATATATTCTCTAGAAAATCTGCATTGGAAATTCTGATACGTGCTCAGCTAGCAAAGTAGCAACGCAAATAAGAGGAAACCTCGTCAATTGTATACATATATATAATATATGTTCACAAAAGCGCAAAAATGAGACGACAACGACGACGCATACGTTAGCAAAATTTTGTCGACTATAGCAATAAGCGCAAGAGTCATAACGTACAAGGATACAAACAAAAGTGAAAAAAAAAAATGCAAAGCCAAGGGTTTTATATTATAAGTAGTGTAGACGCGCAGGTGAATGTTCTCTCATAAACAAAGCAAAAAAAAGCATAAAGATAAAATGTAATTTTTTTGAAATTTCTCACATGTGACTCTATATATCTTAATAAAATAAAAAAGAGGAACCATTGTAAATTGTAAAAAAGAGTTACGCGTCAAGAGAATGACTATTAAATATACATTGCATGTCAACGTTTAGATTATATAGCTCATATATTTCTTTTGAATCTTTGTTATGAACCAAGCAAAAGAAAGAGAGAGAGAGAGAGAGAGAAAAAAAGAATCCATGTGACAGTGTTGATTTAATCTCAATAACAATGTTTACACGCGTTAGATTTTATTCACAAGGATAAAAAACTGTAAAAAAAAGAACGAATTATTTGTTACTAGGGGCTGAATTTAAAAAAAAAATTGAATAGAATTTATAAAAAAAATTTTATCAGAAATTATTTTTATAAAATTGTAATTTTTTTTTAGAAAATTATTATCTATATGTAAAAGTATGTTTCAGTTAAAAAAGAAGTTAAAAATCAGTATCAGTAGTAAAATTATTTTTAATTATAATAAAATTCCTATAATATTTACTGAATTTTTAATTACAAATTTTGACTATTCAAAAAATTTTCCAAATAACTTTCAGGATTAATATAGCAATTTTTTAAAATGAAAATTTCAAAAAAAATTAATAAAAAAAAGTTTCCATCGATTTTAATTTTTGGAAAAATGTGTTTCAACATTTTTTTTAAATGACACATTTTTATACGATATGTGAAACTATGTATACATATAAAATTGCCTATTTATAATTAATTGGTGTGAATTCGACTAGAAATGAATGTTTTATATATACACACACAAAAAAAAAGAAGAAGAAAGAAATTATACTATAGATTGTGTGAAAAGAGGCGGCACTAAAAAATCATAAAGGGTAATTTATGCAAATATAAGGTTCGTTATTGTGAAATTGGAAACTTACGCATTATTTTTGAGTCGGTCTTCGTTGTACCTTTCGTGGAAATCCAATAACTCTTGAATTAGACCTGCCTCTACCATCGACTCCACTCTTTCATCCAGTCTACTGTCAAGGACCTCCTGCAAACATTTCAAAGAAATTAGAATCTCAATATTATAAATATATGATGATGATGATTTTCTCTATATATATATATATATGAATTTAATTTTATTCAACCGTGAAATTCACATATTAACATTCAAATAATGTTATCACAAAGAATTTTTTAAATACAAATCCTGTTTATTATTGATTTATTATAATTTCATAAATTATATAAAATATTTTCATTATAGTTTATGAATTAATTTTAATTAATTATAATTTCAATGTGTAATTTTAATCAACCATAAATTTAATTAAATATAATTTTAATTCTAATTAACTACAATTATAATTTTAATTAATTACAATATTATTATAATTTACTATTTAGAGAAAAAATATGTATCTTATTTGGTTTTTTTTTTTATAAATAAATAATAATTTAACGAAAAAGGATATTTTTAGATAAATTCTAAAGTTACCAAATATATAATATATCGATCTAAAGATATATATTAATATAAACAATTAATCTACGATAAAAAGTCTAATCAAATAATTGTTTATCTTTTGAGAGAAAAAAAAAGTAGAACAAACTATATAGAGAGATATAGATGTTTCAAAAAAATTGATTTACATTTGATTAGAGGAGGAAAAAATTTTTTTTTTTACCATTCAGGGGTAAAAATATATTTATTTCTCTCATTGAGAAAAAAAATAAAAATTCTCAAAGAATAATTTTTTTGAAAATTATTAATATTTTATTTCTTTTTTTTTATTTTTAATATTATATTCTCTATATTTTTTAATATTATATTAATGATATTTTTGAAGTTATTTTTATATTATTTTTTATCTTTGTTTAATTTTTTCAAATAAAGTCAATAATAAAAAGAAAAAAAAACACCGCGGAAATGTTTGATTAATATTTTCGTTAATTTGAATATATTTAAAGAAAAAAAAAAAAAAAAAAAGTTGGTATTTTTTTTTCGATGAAGAAATATTCCCACACAATTCAAGGTAAAAAAGTACACGACCTTTTGTCGGCAATGACCATTTTCTGGTACATATTTAAAAAACTCAGAATAAGTTGCTCTTATATACCACATACATATATCTACAATATACATTTCATTCATGTCCCGTGAGTGAAATTTAAAACTTCTTTGAATGTGTATATTTTATATATATATATATATATATATATATATATACGTCGCCAAAGTGACGCCGCGAGCCGGCCGGCACAACGTTTTCTTTTTCCGCCTTTGAACAACGTACGGAAACTAGAAAGCTCCACACACACGTGGTTTTAACCATTCAACAATAATCGGGTCAAGGTTCTTTAAACAAAAGCGTGTGCAATTTATTTTTTTTTTTTTTTCGAACTCCCGTTATACCCTCCTGGGAGTAAATTACATTCTTTTCATTTTTTTCTCACACATTCAATTTTTATATTAATATTTAAAAAAAAAAAAATAACTATTCGATAAGAGGGAATGAGAATTACGAAATTCCTTAATCTCCCGATGGCCTGATTCCTAAGTATAGCAAAGATTATGAAAAAAAAAAAATATTCTAATTACATGAAACCACTCAAGAAAAATTCTTCAGGCTTCTGAAAACTAAGACAGTTCTAAAATATTATGTCAAAGCGAATATTTTTTAATTAAATTCAATATTTGCTTTTTTTTTAATTATTTTTTTTCTTTAATTAAACAAAAATTGATTAAAAGAATTAATTAAAACTACATTAATTTTAAAAAAATTAATTTACAAAATTACAAAAAAATTAATTTACAAAAATTAATTTACAAAATTACAAAAAAATTAATTTACAAAAATTAATTTTAAAAAAATTAAATAAAAAAAAATTACAAAAAAATTAATTTACAAAAATTAATTTTAAAAAAATTAAATAAAACAAAATTACAAAAAAATTAATTTACAAAAATTAATTTTTAAAAAATTAAATAAAACAAAATTAGTTTTCAAAAAATTAATTTAAAAAAAATTACATTCTTTGAAAATAGATATAATTTATTTAAATTTTTTATAATGTTAATAGACTTGAAAAATAATTAATTATTTTTAATTAAAATTTTTTTTATACACTCATTTACTTTTTCAAATACAAAAAAATCTAATGCGACTAAAAAAGTGTAAATTTTATTAGTTTATTCACGTTTATTGTAAATATATATATATTTTTTTTTTAAACCGTTAGGCCTTATGTATTATATAGTTTGTAAATTAATTTAAAATTATTGCACGAATTTAAAACCACCTGTATTAGCAGGTAATGAAATATGTCTCGTTACGTACAAATGCGTGTGTATATTTTGCACACGTGCGCTATTATAAAATCATTTCAATTCGGTAACATCATGTTATGCAAAATAGAGTGCTAATCATATAACAAATATTTCTCAAAATTACGCAAAAATATTCATCAAAAAATTTTATTCTTAAATTTAATAAAAAATTTTAAAAATATAATTAATTTAAAATTATAAATTAAAATAATAAATTAAAATATTAAATTACATTTTAAAAACTTAAATTTTTAAATTAAAATTAAAAAAAAAACAAATCGATATTCTTTTATAATTTTTTTCTAAAATAGGCAATTATTTTTCTTTATTATTAAAAAACAATATAGTATCCAAGCAATAATTTATTTAAAATAAAAAAATTTATTTAAGCAAACGAATTTATTTAAAATAACAAAAAAAATTTTTATTTATTTCAACAAACGAATTTGATTTTAAAATAACAAAAAGATTTGATTTATTTAAACAAACGAATTTCATGATTGATCGTGACTTTAAATAATTTTTTTCTAATTATATAAAAGTTTTTTTTAACAATTTAAAATGCAAAATTATTTTTGAAAGTAAACAAAAAAAAAATAAAGGAAAAAAAATTCTTTTTTTTCTCCTAGAGACAAAAAGAAAATCATTCTTTCTTGGGTAAGAATAAATTTTTTACTATTGTATTGAACGTGATTTTGAAAAATTATGAGCAAAAAACAAAAAAAAAAAAAAAAAAACTGAATAATTTTTACACTATAAATACGAACTGAAATGACAAAAAATGATCAAGTTAATTTTTGAACAGACAGAAGATAGTTGAATAAAAAGTTTTTTGTCAAGAAAAAAAAATGCATTCCTTCAAATCAGCATTGCTATTTGTTACTTGTAATTATAAATAATTTTTTAATTAGAATTTTAAATTAATTAATTTTTTTTTAATTTTTTTAAAATTTTTTTTATAATTTAATTATCATTAATATAAATTAATTAAAATTTGTAATTTTGTAATAAATTAATTATAATAAACTTTTTTTCCAGGCATATCATATACTTTGGCGCAATTGGATTCATATAATCAGTTAACATCAACTGATTTGCAAGAAAATTGTGAAAATAATAATGTTAATTTAACAGAATTAGCAACAATTCATGAAAAAGTCAATAGTTTACGTGAAAAAAAAACAGATGAAATGACAATTAAAGATGCTTTAAAAACTGATGACAATTGTATGGGCTCTGAACTAAAGACTTTACTTCAAGAAGAAATGAAAATTGTACAAAAATGTCTTAAGGGAAATATTACTCTATCAAAAGATGACATTAACACTTTAATTACTGAAAGTATAAAAAGATTATGTGCTTTGTCTCGACTAAGTAAGTTTTTTTTATATATCACATCAGTTATTACAATAAAATTATTTGGAAAAAAATTATTTATAAAAGAATATCATAAATTATAAAAAAAAAAATTTTTTTTCCATAGCATCATTTGAACATACACTCAGCTCTTGTATTGACACTGATAAACAGTCTGAATGTGAAACTAAAGTATTGGAACCAGTTGAGTCATTAGAAAATACTGAAGAGTTTGCTAATTTAGGATTGTCGTATTCCAAAGCACAAAAACAGTAAGTACAATTTTTTTTTTATATAATTTTATTTGATTTTAAATAAAAATTTAATTTGCCCTAAATGAAAATTTCATTTTTACTAAATAAAATATTTTATTTAAAACAAATTAAATATTTATTTAGCGCAAATCAAAATTTTTATTTAATATCAAATAAAATTATAAATTTGATTCAAATAAATTTTATTTATCTCAAATATAAAAACGAAAATAAAAAATTTTTCTTTATAAAAAAATTTCCACGTTTTGAACAACGAAGAAATTTTTATTTTTTCTTTTTTAATATAAATTAAAAAAAATTTGTATAATTGAAAATATTTTCTTCTTTCAGAATATGGGAAGATTTGTTCAAGTGCTCAACAAAAGCAATTGAGAATTGTTCTGAAGAAGAGAAAAAGACGCATTTGAAACTAACTTCGAATACAATAGATTTACATAAAACTAAAAATTAAATCTTCACAGTTTATATGCAGATATTTGTAAAATAAATATCTGAAATTCGAAAAAAAAAATTGTTATATTAATTTATTCCATGAAAATAAAAAGTTTAATTTAAACTATCATTATTGACTTTTTTTTAATATTATAAAAACCGTTTTTCCTTAATTTCTTTTCAGTTTAAAAATATTTTTTTCATGAATTTTTTTTTCAAGGTTGAATAAGCCACTAAAATATTCAAGAAATAAAAATATAATGTAAATTTAGTCATTGATATGTAAAATAAAAATAATTATATTTATAAATATCTTGTATGTCATTGGTTAAACTAAACAATATAAAATATTAAATTGTGTAATTCTCACAAAAAAAAAATAAAAAAAAATTTTTGATTAGTTAATATGATATTTCACAATTTATTATAAATATGTAAATTTTATTTAATTAAAATAAATAGTTGCACCTAATTAAATAGACGTCATATATTTGATCAGAAAGAATAAAAAAATAGGAGTAAGATCGATTATAAAAAGAAATCTAGATATTAATTTTGTTACAGTTGAACTGCAAAGTATCTACAATTATGTTGAATATTATTTTTATAATCGCAACTTTTTCTGTTGTGCTTCTGAGTAAGTTTATTTTATTATAAGAAAAAAAAATCATTTTCAATGGGAAAAGCAATTTTTCTCTCGCCTACTAAAATCTATTTAAAAAAAATAAAATACTATACTACTTATAATTAATTTATTATGAAATTTTCTATAAAATTTTTATAATTTAAAAAATAATTAATTAATTTATAATATATAATTTATTAAATTTTTATTTATTAATACTATAAAATTCTATAAAATTTTAATTTTTTTTTTTTGTAATTAATGAAAATTAATTTTTTACAGGTTTATCAAATACAGAGGCTCAATTAAATAGTTATTACAATTTAACACCAAATGATATAAAAGAAAAATGTATAAATAATAACTTTAATTTAACTAAATTAAAATTAAATTATAATGAAATGATAAATTTTGTTTTTGGAGAAACTAAACGTGAATTATCAATTGAGAATGCCTTAAAAACTGACGACAATTGTATGGGTGATTTAAATATCACGAATATACTTCAAAATGGATTCCAAATTATTATGCAAAATTGTCTTAAGGATGATATTTCCCTATCAGACGACGATATTAAAGTTTTAATTCGTCAAAGTTTAGACAAATTATGTGCTGTAACTCGATTTAGTAAATTTCATTTATTACTATTTATAAATTAATTATTAATTATAGTTAATTATTAAATTAAAAATATTCTCTTTCTTTGCAGTATTGTTCAAACATCATCTAAGCACTTGTATTGATGAGGATTACCACGAAAACTGTTTAGAAAACGTATTAAAATCAGCTAATTTAACACCTGAAACTTTAGAAAATGGAGCAGAATTTGCTAATTTGGGATTAAAATATTCTCCAAAAGGAAAAAAGTAAGTTTTTTTTTTTTTTTTTTTTTAAGAAAAAAGAATTCATTATTTTCTCATTTGGAGGAATTTTTTTTGCCTAATAGAAAGATAAGAATTTTTTTAAAATAAATATTTCAATAATTAATAATAATATTATAATAAAAATAACCAGAGAAGAATTTTCCTCTTTTTTTTGCATATAATTTATAAAAAAAAATTTCTTTTTTTTGTAGGACATCTGAAGATATATTTGACTGTTTCTCATATTCAATTGAAAAGTGTAGTGCTGAAGAAAAAGAAACAGAAAAGAAACTAGTTTCGAGAATAAAGGATACAATAAAAGTCAGAAATTAAAATTTTGAAATGTAAAAAAGAAAATTACATCAGCAAATGTGTATTCCTTTAAAATAAATTTTAATTTAAAAATTATTATTATTATTATTATTCGAAGTTAATTATGAAAAAAAATTTATCTTATATTATTTTTTTTTTGCAATATATTTATTTCACAATAGCAACAATTGCTTCAAAAGTTTAAACAAATGAATTTCCCGACTGCTCGTGACTATACATTGATAGCAAAATAAAAAAAAAAAAAATACAAAAGTTATAATGCAAAAAGATAAAATTCTTAGTTTTGAGAATGTATAAACGTCATACAAACAAAAAATTAAAGGACACAATTCTTTCAAAAAAAAAAAAAAACACAAAAACTTTATACCAATTGTATCTTTTACGTGACTTTGAAAAAATTACGAAAAAAAAAAATTAAAATGTATTGAATAATTTTTGAGGGTATAAATATGAAATGAAATTTTTCAATTGGCACAGTAAGTTTTCAAGAAATCTACAAAGAACGTTTTTCAAATTTTCAAAAATGTATCTTTTTAAACTTGCATTTTTAACACTGCTTGCTGGATGTAATGTATTTATTTATTTAATATAATTATTTACAATTTTTTTCTATTTTTTTTTCTATTATATACAAATTTTTCTATTTTCATTCACATTTTTCAAATAAAATTTTTTAATTCAAATTAACTAAACATTTTACATTTAATTAATTTATTTAATTTAACTTTTTTTTTTTAATTTCCAGTCTGAAAATAAATTTTTTAAAAATATAGATATTTAATAATTATAAAAAAAATTTTTAAAAAAGGATAAATAAATTTTTTCAGGTTGTCTCTCCTTGACAAGAGCACAATTATTTTCATATAAGCAATTAGATCAAGATAGTTTACTATCATTGTGTGAAAAAAATAATGTAAATTTAACAGAATTAGAAGAGATACATGAGAATGTAGAAGATTTATTAGCAAAAAGTATCAAACCAACTAAATTTCCAACACTTTCGAAACATTGTTTAGGCGATTCTCTAAAAAGTTATCTTCAAAAAGAAATGTCCATAGTAAAAAAATGTATTAATGGAACAATTACATTAAATAGCCTTAGCATTGATTTTCTTATTGACGAAAGTGAAAAAAAATTGTGTTCCCTCAGTAAACTTGGTAATATTATGAAAATATTTTTTAAATATATTTTTTTAATTTAAACGATTAAAAAAAAATTCTATTTTTTTATACAAAAAAAAAAATAATTTTATTTTTGTATTAAAAAAAAAAAATTCTATTTTTCTATACAAAAAAAATAATTTTATTTTTGTATTAAAAAAAAATTCTATTTTTTTATACAAAAAAAATAATTTTATTTTTGTATTAAAAAAAAATTCTATTTTTTTATACAAAAAAAAATAAATAATTTTATTTTTGTATTAAAAAAAAATTCTATTTTTGAATTAAAAAAAAAAGAATTCTATTTCTTTTTTATAAAACAAGAAATAAAATTCGTTTATATTATTTGTCATAAAAAAAAAAAAAAAATTTTTTTTTTAGCCTCGTATGATGCATATCTTGGAGAAAATTGCCTTAATACCACTAAATCTGATGAATGTGAAATGAACATATTAGCGAATACTACAATGGAAAATTCAAATGAATTTGCAAATTTAGGATTAGGATATACTGAAACTGGACGCGAGTAAGTCTTGAATACTCTCACTTATAAATTAACAATCTGTGAATTTTTTTTTTAATTACACCTAATTAGCATATATATATAATTTATTAATAATTATGGAAAAATTTGGAATTTTCAGAAATTTTGAAAAACTTTTTGACTGTGTATCAACTTCTATAAAAACTTCTTGTGACTTATGGCAGCGAATGACACGTGATCTACTAAAAAAAGATTTTATTGATAAGCTTAAAGTAACAATAACATCAACAACATCAACAACAGGAGCAGAAGAAACAACAGCAACATAAATTTAATTATATATGGTATATTATCCAAAAAAAAGGAATATAATTCAATAACAGAATTATTAAAAATATGCAATTATTGACTTTCAATTAATAAAACAATGTAACAAATAAAATATGAGAAAAATAAAATTTCATTTTAAAAAGTATTTATTAATGTTTATTACTTTATCCAAAATCTAAATGCTTCCTTGATAAAGGTTAAAATTTTTTAAAATTAAAAACTCAAACTATTCAAAAAATTAAAATTATAAAAATCGTTACATTTTTTTTTTTGGAATCGCGATTAATAATTATTAAATATTTGACAATAAATGATTCGTAAATAGGACAATCGATGCTATTTTTTAAATAGTTGTTAAATTAATTTAATTAGTTCCAATAGTTTTAATGATACACTAAAAAAAAAAATTTATTTGATTCTAATAATCGACTATTATCAAATAAATATTTACTTGAATCAAATAATTTTTACTTCAACAAAATGAATATTGACTGGAATCAAAATAAATATTTATATTTGGATCAAATAATTTTTACTTGAACCAAAAAAAAAAAAAATATTTACTTCAACAAATTAATTTTTACTGCAACAAAATAATTTTTACTTCAACAAAATAAATATTTAGTCAAAATAAAAATTTATCGCGGATTCAAATAAAATTTATTTGACAATAATCAAGTAACCGATTATTTGAGACAAATAATTTTTTTTCAATGTACATAAAGATTTTTAAATAATAAAATAAAATATGTATTTTTTATATTTATTTGGTTTTATATGTATATGACCTTTTGCCCTTTTACAGTGATAATAAAAAAATATTATTATTATTATTATTATTATTATTATTATTTGAGGTTCTTTATAAAAAGTAATTTTTTTTATCTTATATTCTTCTTTTTTTTGCAATACGTTTTTTTTCAATAGCAACAATTGTTTAAAAATTTTAAACAAACGAATTTCGTGACACTGATTGTGTCTTTACGTGGTTTTGAAAAAATAACGAAAAAAAAAAAAATTAAAATATTTTGAATAATTTGCTGGGTATAAATAAGAAAAGGAAATTTTTCAATTGACAAAAGTTAGTTTTGAAAAAAATCTACAAAGAGTGTTTTTAGAGAGACAAAAAATGTATTTTTTTAATCAAATATTTCTGGCAGTGTTTATTGGATGTAATTTATTTATTTATTTTAATTGTTTAATTAAAAATAAATTAAATTATTTACCTAAAAATTTAATTTTTATATTTAGATTTTAATTTTGACTTTTATCAAAAAAAAATCTAATTTACAGATTATTTTTCTTTGACAAGAGGACAAACATATCAACAATTAACTGAAGATGAACTCAAAAAATTGTGTGCAAATAATAATGTACATTTAGCCGAATTAAAAACACTTCACAATAATGTACAGAATTTATTAACCAATAGTATCACACCAACTGAAAATCCAACAAATGAAACACATTGTTTGGGCATTAATTTACAACATTATCTAAAGAGAGAAATGCACATAGTGGAAAAATGTATTAATGGAACAATTAAATTAGATAACAGTAGCATTCAAGCTATTATTAATGAAAGTGAAAGAAAATTGTGTGCTCTCAGTAAACTTGGTAAAATTATGGGAAATATTTTTTTAATATATTTAATTTAAAAAAAATAAAATAATTTTTTTTTCTTTTTTAGCCTCGTATGAAGAATATCTTGGAGAAACTTGTCTTAATAGCACCAGATCTGTAGAATGTCAATCTGATGCTATAGAGAATATTAAACTTGAAAATGCAAATGAATTTTCAAATTTAGGATTAACGTATACTGAAAATGGAAGGAAGTATGTTTTTTTAATTTGATATTATAAATTAAAATGTGAATTAATTTTATTTATTGATTATTATTTTTTTTACTATTATTATTTATTATTATTTATAATTATTTATTATTTTTTTCTTTTTTTATTTTAAGACTACGGTTTATAGAAAAAATATAACAGAAATAATTTTTTTCACCTTGATATAATAAACTGATAATTAACTAATATATAATTAACTTTATAATTATTATTAATTATTGATGATTTATTATTTTATTTTTTTTCCTTTTTAAACTTTTCCAACTGATTAAAATACATTTATAAAATACATTTTATTAAATAATTTTGGAAATTTTCAGAAATTGGTTAAAAATGTTTGATTGCGCAATAAATGAAGTCAATAAATCATGTGATATTTTGGCAAAATTGAAACATGAACAACTATCAAAAAAAGCCACTGACACTATAAATAATAGAAAAAAAGCATTTCAACAAAGCTAATATATATATATATATATATAAATTACTATTAAAAAATACATGTAATAATTATTGAACAATTAATTACTGGGAATTATTAAAATAAAATAAAAAAAAAAAAAAGCAAAATATTATTTTCCCTTAAATTAAACTATTTTTATTATTTAAAAAAAAAAGAAAAAAACTAATAGCTATTGTATATATTATTTTTATTGCAAAAAAAATTAATTAATTAAAACTAATATTCTATTAAAAAAATTAAAATTAATGAAAAAAAAACAAAAAATTACAAAAAAAAACAAAAATTTTTAAATTTAGTTTCCTATAATTTTGTTACTATTTTTTTTTATTATTGTCGTTTTTATTATAAAAACGTAATTATAAAAAATTATATTATTACTGTTATTATTATTGTTATTATTTTATTATTACTATTATAATTGATTGGTTCAATATTGAATTTTAAAAATATAATATCAGGGGAATTTTTTTTTCTCCCATTAAAAAAAAAAAAAAAAAAAAATGAAAAAAAACCGAAGTAAGGCCCAAACTTAAATTCAGTCTGATCTTCTCAGCAAAACTTATATATGTATATATATTTGTAATTTCCAAGAAGGACGCAAAAGACACCTCGAGAAATAATCTCTCTTGGACCGAAAAAGTTTCGCGCTTGTATATTATAGTTTCTTTTGCTCTCTTTCTTTCTCTCTTTTACACACACACACTTTCCATTCCCCATTATAAAAATTTTACTACATACATACATACATATATATATATACATTCTCATATCTCTGTTAAACACTTGTTCCTTTTCTCGCTCTTTCACTGGGAGTCGCGTTACCGGAAATGCCGTGCGTGCCAGTGACTAAAACCACGCTGAGTAAGTTCGCACGCAAAATATTACGAATGAAGGGAAACAAAAAAAAGGGATAAAAATAATAATAATAAAATGAAGAAAAAAAAAAAAAAAAAAAAAAAAAACAGAAATCACAAACGGAAAAAGTATGACTTCAAATTTTGAAGGGTGCGCGCCTCGTTTCTTCTTTTGGAGAGGGGCATTTATAGACCGAGTCTCATCGCTAACTGAATTAAAAAAAAAAAAAAAAAAAAAAAAGGAGGGAAATTACGTGTTCGTTGCTTGCAGAACGTTACCGGATTACGATTGATTTAAGAACAGGATGTCGAGGAAGTCACGAGTAAAAAATTGTTTGAAAAAAAAAAGTCTGCGAGAACGAAGGGAGACTTTTAATTTGCTTTTAACATTCATTTATATGTATATATAAATAAATATCAATAAAAAATTAATTTTACTTTGAGTTTAAATTTTTTTTTTTTTAAATACATTTTTTTTTAATAACCAAATTTTTTTTAATGGCAAATTATTCAAAAAAATTTAAATACAAAAATTTTCCAACTGTATAAATTTTTTTTTTTTTTTTATTTAAACAAAATTTGAATAACAAATTTAATTCTATTGTTTAACATATTGCCGGCGTACCAAGATAAGTTGTGTAATATATACGAAAAATGTAAATTTTGCATATGCAATAATAATTGTTTTTTTTTTTTTTACAAACATATTAAACAATAATTTATCAAATTTTATCAATTTTAATATTATTATTTCGAAAAATATTAATTTCAAATAAAAATTTTTATCACCTATCCTTCCAGGAATGATTCTAGTTTAACAAAATGATTTATATTTTATGATCACTTGATTTAATATCCACTCAGCTAATCATCGTTAAATCGCTATTTTGTATATTTTTTTTTAATACAAAGTGTGATGAATCAAAAAGTAATTATGTGGGCAAATTAAAAAGCAACAAAAAATAATAGTAAAAAAAAAAAAAAAAATAATAATAATAATAATAATAATAATAATAATAATAATAATACCAATAATAGTAACAATAATAATAAAATACTATTATTATTACTATTAATATAATTATAATTAATATAATAATAAAATAATAAATATTAAAAAAAATACTTAGTAACTTTTTTAAAATTTTTTTTAGACGAATATTAAGCAAAGTTAATTGAAAAAAAATGTTAAAAAAAATTGTCGATTCAGGGAGGAAGTTATGTTTATATATATTGTGTTATAAGGATTGAAACAATCCATAGACATATATTTCCGGCATCAGTTTATATATATATAAATGGCGACCACAGTTTCCGGAGTGGTTGACTTGAAAAGAATTTTCCAAGAATAACCACATATTCGATACAGATCTGGAAGATCTAATTTGTAACAAAATAATATTAAACAAAAAAAAATACTTTCACAAAATTTTTTTTACATAAAATAGAAAAGAAAGAAATTTTTTTTTAAATTTAATTTTTAATTAAAAATTAATTATTATAAATTATATATACAGTATAAATTATATTAATTAAATAATATAAATTACATAAATTAAATAATATAAATTATATTAATTAAATAATAATTTTAATTTAATTTATAATTCAAAAGGGATATTTGCATTATTTATTCCTTCAAATTTTCAGTAAAAAAAAAATATAAATTTCTCCCACGCAATCGTAAGAATTATAAGAATAATTTTGATTGTACACGAAAATTATAATCATCATGAAAAATTTGATTACATATTATGTCAAGATTGAAAATTAATCGTGACTTGAAAAGAAAATCTATCGAGTGTGACGAAAGAATAAAAAAAAAAAAAAAAAAAAAAAAAATGAAACTGCGAAAGAAAACAAAAATACGAATTAAGAAAAAAAAAAAAAAAAAAAAAAAAAAAATGATAACCGAGTCCGGGAAGAAAGGGAGGAGTTTTGTGGTCAGAAAACGGGACAGGAAGTGACGACATAGAATTGCCACTATGGTCACACATTTGATATTGTATGTGTACTTGGCAGCTGTCTACCAAGTGGCACTTGAATTGCAAAAGCAAACTTCTCTCATATGCTTTCTCTCTGTACTGATGGCAATTCGCGATGCTTATAGAGTTCCCCCCCCACAACCTTCATCTTTTTCTTACCCTTCCCTTCTTCTTCTTCTTCTTCTTCTTCTATTCTAATGTACATAATATCGACAAGAAACTGCATTTGCTATAAAGGAGAGGGTTTCACACACCCAACAGATGCGAAACACATTTCAATGGACAGACATCCTTCGAGACGAATGAGAATGACCCTGTCTAAACATATTCAAATATCCAATGACCTGCATTCTTAAAAGAATTATTTAATTCTATATAAACAATATCCATAAGGGTTGTTCTCTCTCTCTCACCCTTTTAAAAATATCTCTTCAAAACATTTTTAGTATCATTATTATTTTGAATCAGAAATCTCGGATTACGATAATAATTATTATAAATACCGAATTGTTTGACATAATTGAATTTGTAATTTAATATTTTCAATTACGATCTATTTTATAGAATTTCTTTTTTTAGTAAAAGAATTTAGAATTTAATTAATATTCAGTAGTTAACTAATTTATTATACTACTACTATTATTATTATTATTATTTATTGTTATTAATTAAATTAAATTAATACTTTTAATGGACCAACAGCATCCGAGCTACTATGGACCAAAGTGGACAAAATTTCGAAATTATTAATTTCGATAATAATTTCTCGGGAACAGTAGAAGAATAATCCGTAGATAGTGCTTTACAAAAAAATGAATTTTTGAAATGAACCAACAGTGCAGCATCCGAGCTACAATGGACCAAAGTGGTGAAAAAAACTTAGAAATTTTTAATTTTCAAAATAATTTCTCGGGAATAGTATAAAGAATTATTTCCAGATAGTACTTTACAAAAAATGTATTTTTGAAATGAACCAACAGCGCAGCATCCGAGCTACAATGGACCAAAGTGGTGAAAAAAATTTCGAAATTTCTAATTTTCGTAATAAATCCTCAGGAATATTATATAGAAGAATTATTCGCTGATAGTGCTTTACAAAATAATTTTTTTATTGAAATGGACCAATTAGCAGCATCCAAGCTACAATGAACCAAAAAGGAGAAAAAAATCTCGAGATAAACTCGTGCTTTATAAAAAATATAAATGACACTTTTTGAAATGGACCAATAGGCAGCATCCGAGCTACGATGGAACAAAGTGAAGAAAAAATTTCAAATTTTTTAATTGTCGAAATAATTTCTCGGAAATAGAAGAATTATCCCCAGATGGTGCTTTACAAAAAAAATATATATTTTTGAAATGGACCAATAGCAGCATCCAAGCCACAATGGACCAAAATGGAGAAAAAAACTCGAAATTTTTAAATTTCGAGATAAACTCACGAGAAAACCACCAAGATAGTGCTTTATAAAAAAAATGTAAATGGCACTTTTTGAAATGGACCAATAACAGCATCCGAGCAACAATGGACCAAAGTGAAGAAAAAATTTCGAAATTTCCAATTTTCGAAATAATTATAAAAAATAATCAACTGAATAACAAAAAAATGATAATCAAATTTTAAGTGCAATTAAAAAGGAACAAACAATAAATATAATTAATTTGTCATTTTGAGAAAAAGGTAATTCGCGTTTACTTAGAAAATCGTGTTGAAAAAACATGTTTAAGTAGGAAACTATTATCCCCAAGGATTATTGACACTTAAACATGGGTTGGTATATATATACATTCTTTAATGTTAAAATTAGAGTGAAATATTTTATAATAATACGACTTTAAAAAATCTTTTTCTCGATATAGTGATATATATATATATATACGTATAATGTGGAAAATTATATTAGAGGAAATAATCATTACAAGACACCTTTGTAATTTCATTTTCAACAACCCTCCATTAGTTTAAGACACACATTCCACTATATATGGACACTAACTGAATTATACAATAAATAATAATAATTTCTCATACACATGTGTGATTTTCTTTAACATGAAAGTTGCGTTTATATAACTATTTTATTTTTTTCAAAAAGAAAAACAGCAGATAAAGACATATTATTATGATGAAAGTAAAATTTTATTTATTTACTTATTTTTTTCAAGAATATTAATATTCTGTTCAAATAACCATGACTAAAAAAAAAATTGAAACAGAATTATTATTTTTCTAACTTTCCA